GTCTCTTTGTGAGAAGTCAAGGAGGCCTGAAGGGGTTTTTAAAATAGTATTAATACACAAGTACAGTAATGTCTTAGTATGTGGGGTAGGCTAATGAGAAAAATAGGTAAGACTAACTATCTCCAGAGCAAAGGGTGAATAGCTGATATATATTAGACAGTGGTGTATTTTATAAAAAGAAAAGGAGGACTTGTGGCACCTTAGAGACTAACAAATTTTTTTAAGCATAAGCTTTCGTGAGCTACAGCTCACTTCATCGGATGCATTCAGTGGAAAATACAGTGGGGAGATTTATATACACAGAGAACATGAAACAATGGGTGTTACCATACACACTATAACAAGGGGGGGAAATAAACATGGGGAAATAGTTTTACTTTGTGTAATGACCCGTCCGCTCCCAGTCTCTATTCAAGCCTAAATTAATTGTATCCAGTTTGCAAATTAATTCCAATTCAGCAGTCTCTCGTTGGAGTCTGTTTTTGAAGTTTTTAACTCAGGCTTGAATAAAGACTGGGAGCGGATGGGTCATTACACAAAGTAAAGCTATTTCCCCATGTTTATTCCCACCGCTGTTCCTCAGACGTTCTTGTCAGCTGCTGGAAATGGCCCACCTTGATTATCACTACAAAAGGTCTGTCCCCCCGCCCCCCACTCTCCTGCTGGTAATAGCTCACCTTACCTGATCACTCTCGTTACAGTGTGTATGTAACACCCATTGTTTCATGTTCTCTGAGTATATAAATCTCTCCACTGTATTTTCCACTGAATGCATCTGATGAAGTGAGCTGCAGCTCACGAAAGCTTATGCTCAAATAAATTTGTTAGTCTCTAAGGTGCCACAAGTCCTCCTTTTCTTTTTGCGGATATAGACTAACATGGCTGCTACTCTGAAACCGGTGTGTTTTATGGATCTAGTTTATGAGGAAAAGTACATTTCCATGTGTGGTGTGAGAGCAATGGTTGTTTGAAGCTGGTGATGTTGACAGGATATCTTAACAGCCCATTTCCATTTCTGACATTTGCTTTATAATTTTGAAACTCTGCATAGTGTTTCTGTGAAGGTTTTAAAAATGTAGTTCATAGAATTAAAGGCCAGAAAAGACCATTATGATCATCTAGTTTGACCTCCTGAATAATCCAGGCCATTAAACTTCATCCAGTTATCCCTGTACTAAGAGTAATAGCTTACATTTGGCTAATGCATAATTCCTATGTGGTTCAAGCATCTCTTTCAGAAAGGTGTCCAGTCTTGATTCATCTCAAGACTGTAATCCCATGAGACGCCCCTGATCGAGCATGGGAAAATAAGTGATATCCGTAAGAATGGTAATGTATTTAGCTGTTTTTAATGCAAGTGTTTTGACCTCTCAGAAAAACTATTCATGGCGACGGTGTTTGCTCTTCATTTCAACCTGTCTCCCGCCTATTCTGTCTTTCTCAGCTAGACACAAGGAGCAGGACTCAGCACAAGGTGAACAGCCAGATCTCTGCTGACCACTGGCATGTGCTCCATAGGCCACCAATGGCCTGCAATCCACAGCTGGGCTATCTGTCTGCTAGCTGATCTTGTTCTGGAGATGTTTCAGAGGAACAGCCGTGTTAGTCTGTATTCGCAAAAAGAAAAGGAGTACTTGTGGCACCTTAGAGACTAACCAATTTATTTGAGCATAAATAAATTCCATAATAAATTCTGGAGATATAAATCCAAAAAGCATTAGGAAAATCTTTGAAAAGAGAAGGCGGGGCTGTAGATCCTGCACAGAGTCTCATGGGTACTTGGCTATAATCGGGTTCCCTGGGGATAGAAGGGGTGAGGGCTAGGGATCACACAGTCTTAAGGGGACATGGGCCCCAGTGGGGCTCCCCAGGGGTAGAAGGGACAGGCATTGGGGTCGAGGGATCTCACATAGAGTCTCAGGGGAACAAGGTCCCCAGCAGGGCTCCCCACAGTAGAAGATGTGATGCTGACAGACCGGGTGCCAGCTCATGCCAAGGACCCCAGGCCTTTGTGGATTCGGAATTTGGATCTCTGCGGTTTGTGGCTTTAGGGGCGTGACAAATACATAGCTGGAACCAGTCTGACCAGTGTGTCTGTATTGTTACAATAAGTATTAGAATTATAAAAATGTGCTTAATGTTTAGACTTTATTGAATGCTTATAAATTGCTGCATGCATTAATCTCACTTATAATATCCATATCCCACATTGCAAGGTAATGTTTAAGCATTTGTGTAATGAGCCTCTGTGACTGCGTAAACCATCACAGAGGAGAGAGACGTTAATTGGTGTAAAGTGCTGATCTCCAACCAAAGGTGGTATTTCCTACCCCCCAAGGAAGGTCCCGTGACAACAGATGAAGTATTGTGGAACATCAAAGAGAGTAGAAGACTTTGCTGATTGCCCTTCCCTCCCCTCCCCTCCCCTCCCCACCCCAAATGGAGAGAAGTCTGCAAATGGATTCCTTTCATCAGCTGCGTTTGCAGCTCAAGTTCGGGCAGGGGGGGAGAAGGGAAGGAAAGGCCCTATCAAGGAGGAACTGTATCTTTATGCTGCTTGGAATCACTGTGGCAAGAATTATTAATCATAAGCAAAAGATCCCCAGGGGTGAGCCTGGGTTAGCCCTAAAGGACATATTGAGTTTGCTTATTAGAGAAACTTCTATTACTGTCTGAAACTGAAGCTAGGAGCTCCTTGGGAGGTGTGGGCGGATACAGGTTTACCTGCTTTAGCCTTGTAAATAACTCCCATTTCTTTCCTCTCTATAATAACTCTTGAGATAAGAGACAGAGTGGGTGAGGTAATATCTCTTTTTGGCCCAGCTTCTGTAGGTGAAAGAGATGAGCTTTCACTGAGCTCTTCTCTAGGGCTGGGAAAACATTACTGCTAAATACTAGGTTTGGGGTGGGGATCACACCCAATCTGTGGGGCAGGGGGCTGGGGATCACACAGTCTCTGGGTCATGGGCCCAGAGAGTCTGAGGGCTATCGGGGGGCGGGGGGGAGAGATGTCCTGTGGGGGCAGGGCCAGGCCTCACAGGCTGAGGGCTATGGGGTGGGGGGGGGGAGGGGAGGGGAGATGTCCTGTGGGGGCAGGGCCAGGCCTCACAGGCTGAGGGCTATGGGGTGGGGGGGAGGGGAGGGGGGGGGAGATGTCCTGTGGGGGCAGGGCCAGGCCTCACAGGCTGAGGGCTATGGGGTGGGGGGGAGGGGAGGGGAGGGGAGATGTCCTGTGGGGGCAGGGCCAGGCCTCACAGGCTGAGGGCTATGGGGGGGGGGAGGGGAGATGTCCCGTGGGGGCAGGGCCGGGCCTCACAGGCTGAGGGCTATGGGGGGGGGGAGGGGAGTTGTCCCGTGGGGGCAGGGCCGGGCCTCACAGGCTGAGGGCTATGGGGTGGGGGAGGGGAGTTGTCCCGTGGGGGCAGGGCCAGGCCTCACAGGCTGAGGGCTATGGGGGGGGGGGAGGGGAGTTGTCCTGTGGGGGCAGGGCCAGGCCTCACAGGCTGAGGGCTATGGGGTGTGGGGGAGGGGAGATGTCCTGTGGGGGCAGGGCCGGGCCTCACAGGCTGAGGGCTAATGGGGGTGGGGGAGGGGAGATGTCCCGTGGGGGCAGGGCCGGGCCAGGCCTCACAGTCTCGAGGCCGTGGCCTGTGGGGCGGCTCCAATGGCGGCAGCAGGGCCAGGGCAGGCCCGCGGACCATAGAGAGGGAGAGCGGCCCGGTGAGAAGGGCCCCCGTCGAGTCCCCTCCCCATTCCGAATGCGGATCTCTGCGGTTTGTGGCTTTAGGGGCGTGATTATGTAAATTTGGTGCTTTCTGACTGGCTCGTCGCTATGTCACTCAGCTGAGAGACCTCCCCCACCTGCCCGACTTTGAAAATCAGCGCTCGCCCAAGACGGCCGGAAGTGTGGGGCTGGCTGGCTTCGCCTGCCCGGAGTAAAGATGGCCTCGCGGGCCCCGCCTCCGGCCGGGGGGGGGCCTCCCTCGCCTTCTTCGGGCAGCGTGGGCGGGGCCGAACGCCCGGTGTGGCGGCAGCTGAGTGCGCACGCGCGCCTGGTGCTGACAGGGGAGAGCCGGGGCTGGGAGTCGAGGCAGGTAGGAGGCGCCGCGCGCTCTTGGGGGGCGCGGAGGGGGCGGGGCCTGCGCGCGTCCTCCCCCCCCCCCCCCGGGGGAAGTGCGGGGGATGGGTGCCCGGTTCTAACGCTCGCTCCCGGCGGGAGCTGCCTTTCTGCCGTGCCCGGCCCGGGGGTGCCTCCGCCGGGGCTCCGTGCTGCGGCCGGGGACTGGTCCCCCCCCCATTGGGGTCTGTCCTGGGCAAAGCGCGGCGGGGGAGGGGTTCTGTCCCTTCCCCCCCCCCATTGGGGTCTGTCCTGGGCAAAGCGCGGTGGGGGAGGGGTTCTGTCCCTTCCCCCCCCCATTGGGGTCTGTCCTGGGCAAAGCGCGGTGGGGGAGGGGTTCTGTCCCGTCCCCCCCCATTGGGGTCTGTCCTGGGCAAAGCGCAGTCAGGGTGGGGTTCTGTCCCCTCCCCCCAACATAGGGGTCTGTCCTGGGCAAAGCGCGGTGGGGGAGGGGGTTCTGTCCCTTCCCCCCCCATTGGGGTCTGTCCTGGGCAAGGGGGGGGGGGGGGGGGGTTTCCCCCCCCCCCCCATTGGGGTCTGTCCTGGGCAAAGCGCGGTGGGGGTGGGGTTCTGTCCCTTCCCCCCCCCCCCCCATTGGGGTCTGTCCTGGGCAAAGCGCGGTCAGGGTGGGGTTCTGTCCCCTCCCCCCAACATAGGGGTCTGTCCTGGGCAAAGCGCGGTGGGGGAGGGGTTCTGTCCCTTCCCCCCCCCATTGGGGTCTGTCCTGGGCAAAGCGCGGTGGGGGAGGGGTTCTGTCCCTCCCCCCCCCCCCCCCCATTGGGGTCTGTCCTGGGCAAAGCGCGGTCAGGGTGGGGTTCTGTCCCCTCCCCCCAACATAGGGGTCTGTCCTGGGTGGGGGGGGGGTCCTGCCCTAGGTAAAGTGCTGTGTGGGGGGGGTAAGGGTTCTATCTCCATTCCTCTCCATAGGGTCTGACCTCGGTAGAGCGGGGGGTCTGTCCCCCCCCATTATAGGGGTCTGTCCCAGGTAGAGCGCTGTCACTTACCCCTGTATCAGCATCCATCCCAAGTAGAGTGCTGTCGGAGGTCTCCCCTCACCCTTTTCAGGGCAGGTGCCTGCAGGGTGGGCCGTGCAGTACTGGTACACTATGGGGAGTACCTGTAGGAGGGCTCCCGGATCTCCACAGCTGGTTCTTTGTCTCAGTCCCCATCCCTTGCTGGGATGTTACGTAAACAGATGAGCCGGGAGTAGTGGTGCCCCATGCCTCGTATTTCTATCTGTTTTATTATCTGAGAGATGAGGCGGGGGAGGTAATATCTGTTATTGGACCAACTTCTGTTGGTGGAAGGGACAAGTTTTTGAGCTTCACGTCTGGAGAAGGAAACCAAAGTGGTCAAGCTAAATAGAAGGTAGGACAGATTATTAAGCATAAGAGGTTCATGCATGTTGTAGGAGACCACTTAAAATGAAGTGGGCAGCTTTATTTTTTTTTTTGTTTTATTATATATTTATTATTCCATGACCATCCAGGAAATCTTAAAAATCTAGCCAACTAGTGAAGGATTCATCTCTCCCTCCCCTGCATGGAAGCTACAGTCTGGTAGCGGTTTCCATTGTAATTTGCACTTCATTCGTGACTTTTATCTGAACACCTCAAAGCATTTCACAGACAAAAACTACATCTCCTACCCCTTGGGAGCTTTAGGCAGTGGTGAGCTGGAGCCGGTTCACGCGAACCAGTTGTTAAATTTTGAAGCCGGTTTAGAACTGGTTGTTAAAGGGGTGGGCAAACTCCGGCTCGCAGGCCACATGTGGCCCGCGGGACCATCCTGTCCATCCTGCCTGAGCTCTCAGATGGGGAGGCTCCCCTGTGAATTTTCACCCAGCGGCACTTGGAAGCTTCGGCGCCAGGTCCTTCAGTGCTGCCGAAGACCCGGAGCGACTGAAGGACATGCAGCCAAAGACCCGGAGCGACCGAAGGAACCGGTTCTTCAGCTTCTGGCAGCTCATCACTGGCTGTAGGTGTGTGTTACCCTCATTTCACAGTTCAGGAAATGGAGGCATGGAGTAGGGAAGTGACTTGACAAAGATCACACAAGAAGTCAGTGGTGGAGCTTGCGACTACAACCCAGGAGTCCTGCTTCTCCATTGCCTACTCTAGTCACTAATCTCTTCTCAAAATTCAGTTTCAAGGGTGTCTGAATAACCAGTTGAAAACTTGATCTAAACTTGGACTTCAAGTGGAGATGATGTTGTCACCACTTCTTGAACCATCCCCCTTTGTGACAAAGCAAACAATTCCTGTATCCAGACACTGCACAAATAGTGAGAGTGGATAAAGGAGAACTTGCATGGGGAAATGCTCATAACAGTATAGGTAAATCTGCTTAAACTGGTCCAGTGACATCTTTCAGGACTGAAACATTACAAAGGTTCCTGACTGCCTCAATTTTGGGTCCTGTGACAGGCTTCAGTAAGACTTTCAGGAAACACCTTATGATCTGGTGATTGAAACACCAGGCTGGGAGAGAGGGAATGACTGCAGTTTTCAAAAGATTGTAAGCAAAAACAAAACAAAAAAACCCTCACTGACCAGTCCATACTGAAATGAGTTCTGTGGAGAAATCCTGCTCAGATACCATGGTGATGGGTGGAGAAGAAATACCTAGACAGAGATGTTCTCTTTAACAGCATGAAAAGTGGCACCAATGCTTCTCAGCTTGTCGTACGCTTCCTACTAATGCTAATGAGAATAATGGGCAGGTACTGAAGTGCTGTACCTCCAGGGTTTCAGCACAGGAGTAAGAAAAGGAGTACTTGTGGCACCTTAGAGACTAACAAATTTATTTGAGTATAAGCTTTCGTGAGCTACAGTTCACTTTGTCAGATGCATGCAGTGGAGTAGTTGGTGTGTTTTTTGTTTTTTTTTTAAACTTGAACGCAAAAAACAAAATTAAAGTAAGGTTAAATATCTGGCTTGTGAGTGAACCTGTCAACTTGATGTTTTATTCAGATTCTTATACCACCCTTATTACTTGTATCTGAGCACCTTCCAGCAGTTCACTAAGCCAGGAGACTAACATCTGTGAGGTGTGATTCATTCTCTTTCTCATCCTGTCTGTAAGGAAGAATTTTGTGTGCAGTTATGTCTCAGTAGGGGATTGTTTTAATATATTTTTAACATGTACACATTGCTGTGTGTTTGCTAGAGAAGGCGGTTGGAAGACAAGAACCTTGCATTTGGAGCAGAAGGTGGTGCTTGTGATGGTCATTAGTTCCTGTGGGGTTTGTCCTGCTGTCTGGGACAGGCCCCCAAGAAATCTCAGACTTTTGCACAGATGAGCTTTACCCTTTTGGTAAAAAGTTCCATTCTGCCTGAGGAGCGAAGCTGTCTAGAAGGATCTTCATCCCGGAGCATGAGGCTGTCTTTTAGGTATGCTGGGCCCAGGCTACTGAGTGACTTGAAGATAAATGGAGATATGTGACGCTATGCCATAAACTCATTTTTAAAGGCACGCTGTCATTGTCAATCTTTTGATACCAATTACTCTTTTTAAAATGTTTTTTTTCTCTGTTCTCTCACTGACAAGTTGCAGTCAGTTTCTCCTTTGCTAATTGACTACACAGGGAAACAGTGAAACTGACTATTGTGACAGGGTCGGGCCAGATGGCTACAGGAGAGAAATAGAAGGCAGATATATTAGCCCCAGGCTAAGTAGGTCCCTTTCCCCTGGGTAAGGTAACAGGGAAGGTTCCAGAACAATCAAGAACCTTCTAGAGACAATTAAGACAGGCTGATTAGAACACCTGCAGCCAATCAGGAAGCTGCTAGAAACACTTCAGTTTGTGGTGTGCGTGTGAGGAGCTGGGAGCAAGAGGCGTGAGGAGCTGAGAGTGAGAATGCGGACTGTTGGAGGACTGAGGTGTACAAGCGTTATCAGACACCAGGAGGAAGGTCCTATGGTGAGGATAAAGAAGGTGTTGGGAGGAGGCCGTGGGGAAGTAGCCCGGGAGTTGTAGCTGTCGCACAGCTGTTCCAGGAGGCACTCTAGACAGCTGCATTCCACAGGGCCCTGGGCTGGAACCCGGAGTAGAGGGGCCCGGGTTCCCCCCAAATCCTCCCAACTCCTGGTCAGACACAGGAGGAGTCGACCTGGACTGTGGGTTCAGAAAAACGGCCAAGCTGAGGGCTGCTGTGAACCTCTAAGGCGAGTAAATCCGCCAATAAGCGCAAGACCCACCAAGGTAGAGCAGGAATTTTGTCACACTGTGCACCAGCTGATGTCAAATGCACAAGGTAAACAAACTGGATTGGGGAGGCTCTTGTTGCTTTATTTTAGAAAGTCTAGTTGTTGTAATAACAGGAGGTACAAAAGTCAAACAGAAATGGCTTTCAAGATGACTGTGTCCCTTTAACCTTCCCAGTATTACAGTAGCTCATGTGTTCCTCAAATAGTGAGTTAATTTTGTATTACATAGGCACATCTGGACATTCTCAAACCCTTGGCTGTGGCTGTCAAAATAAGCTTCATTGTTTGCAGTGTTGTAGCCATGTTGTTTCCGGGATACAAGAGAGACAAAGTGGGTGAGGGAACATCTTTTAGTGGACCAACTTCTGCTGGTGAAAGGAATAAGCTTTTGAGCTCCACAGAACTCTTCTTAGACCTGAATGTCTGTCGGCTTCTTCAGGCCTAAAGAAGAGCTCTGGGGATCTCAAAATCTTGTCCCTTTCACCACAGAAGTTGGTCCGGTAAAAGATATTACCTCACCTGCTCTGTCTCTGATAGAAGATTCCTACATTTACAGAGCTTAGAGCCAGAAGGGACTGTTAGATTATCCAGTCTGACCTGTATATCACAGGTCATTACATTTCACCCAGTTATCCTTTATTGAGCCCAATAATTTGTCTGACTAAAGCGAATCTTCCAGAAAGACTCTGTCCTGCTATGAAGACATCAAGAGTTGAGAATTCACCACTTCCCTTGGTAGTTTGTTCCAAAGCTTAATCACTTTCACTGTTTAAAAACTTGCGCCTTGTTTCTAATTTGAACATTTCTGGTGCCAGCTTCCAGCCACTTGTTCTTGTTATGCCTTTCTCTGCAAGATTTCTCTGCATTAGCAGCACCTGGTGTGGGTTTTTTTGTTTTTTTTTCCTCCCCATGAAGCTACCGATATACTATAATCAAGGCAGTGCTCAATCTTTTTGATAACCTAAACAGCTCAAGGTCTTTAAATTGCTCACGACAAGACATTTTCTCCAGCCCTTGAATCATTTTTGACTCTTCTGCATCCTGTCCAGTTTTTCAACTTCCTTTTTAAAACGTGGACACACGCACTATATGCAGTATTCCAGTATTTGTCTCACCACAATGCTGTACAAAGGTAAAATTGCCTTCCTACTCCTGTTCAGTACTCCCCCAAATCCTTTTTTGAATCTCTGCTTTCCAGGATACAGTCCTCCATTCTGTAGGGATGGGCTGCATGCCTTATTCTTAGATGTATAACTTTGCATTTGGCTGTATTAAAATACACTTTGTTTGAATCAACCCTGCTTATCAAGCAATCCAGATTGGTCTGTATGACTGCCTTCTCCTCCTCATTATTTACCACTCTGCCTGTCTCTGTCCTTCACAAATGATATCAGCTGTGATTTTCTGTATACTTTCAGATCATTGATGAAAATGTTGAATAGCATTGAGCCAAGTACTGATTCTTGTGGAACATCACTAGAAACCCTCCCGTTCAGTGGTGATTCTATATTGACAACTACTTTTTGAGATCTGTCAGCCAGTTCTTAATCCATTTAACATGTGCTTTTTGTTATGTAATACTAATTTTAATCAAGCTGTCATGTGGTGTGAAGTCAAGTGCCTTATAAAAATCTAAGTATTTTGCATCTATGCAGTTACCTTTATCAACCAAACTTGTGATCTTTTCAAATAATGACATGGGTTTGTTTGACAAGACCGGTTTTCCATAAAACCATGTTAATGCAGAACATCAACTAATACAAATCGTGTGAATTATATAATCTGTGTAGCACAAAGTTATGTATGCACCAATGAACATCGTTAAGGGTGTGAACTAGTTTGACAGAAGCATGATTGCATAGTTATAAAAGAAAGGAGATGTTCAATTTCCTCCAATACGGGGATGTCATATGGCTGGCTAAGTAAACCAGCTGGGTGCCTCACTGTTGTGCTTAGCAATTAAAGTGCATGTGATATGTTTCCTTATTTGTGTTCTTCCTTGTCTGAGCCAGTTGGTATCACATTACCGCACACACATTCCATTGCTTTATAAAAACACAGTTACAGAAGGAACCTATTTTCTGAGAGTTTGTTAGTATTGTCAGTTGGTATCCCATCAGTGCTTTTCTGTAAAATCTACCTGTGTTAGCAATGACTGCCCAATGGACTCTTGAAGAAACATTGAGGAGTTAAGATTTCACAGGTGACTTGCAATTGAATCCACAGCTGTAGCACTTGACCCCAGTGCCCCCTTGAGAACAGTTAGAAACTCTGCAACAGCTTTATCCATCCATCCCACAGGCTCATGAAGTTAAGAATAAAGAACGTATTAATGGTTTTATGGAAGATGGACCAGACTGTCTTAGAGTTTCGTTTTGCTCTGGGGGTGGTGCTTGAGGGAAAGAGCTAAGGTTGTTTGGGTGAACTTAACTATTAAATGTGGGTTTTTTGTAAAGGAGGAACTTTGCGGTGGACTTCTCAGGGGATTTTAACCTTGTATGTTTCTCACAAGAAGGGAGAACAAATTCAAGGCTTTTTTGACTGCATTAAGATTGAAAGAATCAATCACATCAGAGTTTAAAGTTTTTTTGTTTCTTTTTTGCCTAGAAATCTCCATAGATTTTAGAAAAAAAGTATAAACTGCTGCTCAGTGATGAACAAGTCATTTAATACAATAAAGGTAAATTTATTGTAAAAGGTGAAAATTGCCCTTTATGGAGAGCTTGTATGAGGCCTTCCGTGCTCTGGAGAGTCCCAAGGTAACAATGTGTGGAGTAGGAAGGGGGTGTATGGAATGGTGGTTACCTGTTTCAGAGTAGCAGCCATGTTAGTCTGTATTCACAAAAAGAAAAGGAGTACTTGTGGCACCTTAGAGACTAACACATTTGTTTGAGCATGAGCTTTCGTGAGCTACACATCCGATGAAGTGAGCTATAGCTCACGAAAGCTTATGCTCAAATAAATGTGTTAGTCTCTAAGGTGCCACAAGTCCTCCTTTTCTTGTTACCTGTTTGCGCTCTCTCTGTGACTGGCTAGAAAACTAGGCCATATGTTGCAAGAATCCTAAAATGCAATGCCAGCTACAATCTGCTAACATCCTTTGTAAGAAAGGCAGTGCCTTCCAGGTGTTTTATGTATGAACATTGCCTTCTTAGAGAATAGACTTGTACTGGCAGGAGTGAAGCATATGTACTAAATGCAAACTTTGCAAAAGCTAAAGTTTCTGAAACTGAAACTGATGTGTATATTGTTTTTTAACTTAAAATTCCAGCTTGGTAGTTGTGCTTGTGAGATTCAGAATAACTGACAGATCTGCCTCTCTTGAAACTCTTCTGGCCCTTATTTCTTGATGCTGAATATTGAAAAGTTTTGAAATATGTCACAAGTAACTTTACTCAAGGGAAAAGGCTATTAAAATAGCAGTGTGGCAAATTTAAACGTAGTGCTTTTACGGCTCTCGGAACACAGTTAAGTTCTTTACACGCAAGTTCTTTATCATTTTATTCCTTTCATCCACACATTTACAAATGGAAAAAATGAATGACCTCACGACTACCCAAACAAACTTTAATTGCTTACAGATGTCAATGCTTTAACCGTCTGTGAGAGATTATACATCTGTGATGGCGTCCCAGAGAAAAAGAGTAAAAAGCTTTGCTTACTTAAATCAGCAGTATGATATGTAAATGGCAAAATGGAATGTCATTGGAAGCTCCAATAGCTCTGTTGCCTTTACAAATTCAGGGCGATGTACAGTGTTGGAGTGACTCTTTGCTCTGATACAGGGCTCCACTTCGCAAGATATGGAATTCTGTTCGTGCTTGTGACAGATGCTGACAGCATTGGAGACTTTAAGCCTTCTGTTTTCTCACTAAATGTTTATGATTTAGTACAGCCTCACATTGAGTCAAAGTAGTAGGGAGATTTTTCTAGTCTGAGAATACATGGGAATAAAACTTAGTACGGTGGACAGCATCATTTTGGGCTCAATGGGGATATCCTGTATGGCCAGATAAAATAGCTCTGATGCTATGCTTGCACTGGTAAATCAGGAATAACTTGGGTGACTTCAGTGGCATTACCCCAGTATGAAACTGGTGTGCATGAGATCAGAATCAAGCACAGTGGGGGTTGGTTTTGGTTTTTCTCTGCACACTGTAGCAGCACATGGTTTCTCCTCCAGATTCTCTCCTCTTCCATTTGATAAACCATTTCCCTTTCATTACCCCGAGGGAATTCTGTGCCAAAAATTTAAAAATTCTGCACATTTATTGACAAAATTTGGAGGCTCCAGCATGGCAGCGGGGCACACAGGCCACTGACTGCACAGAGGTGGGAGATCACCCTGCAGTCCCCACCCTGTGACATAGACTCAGCAGTGAAGCTGCACACACTGCAAGGGCCAGGCCTGCCCGTCCATGGTATGCACACTAGATGTAGACAGGCAGGCTCAGCCCAGCAGGATCCAAGTGTGGAGGGGCTTGGTATGGGGTGATAGGGGTTGTGTGGGGAAATCTGGTTGTGGGCAGCTTGGGGGAGGGGAGTGTCTGGGTATGGGGGGGATCTGGATGAACAAGGGCTCACTGGTGGGGGGGTTCTGGATTCAGAGGCAATGGGACTCTGCGGGGGGGTCCAGGTGAAGGTGGTTGGGGCTCAGCAGTGGGGAGTCTGGGTGCTGGCTAGATGGGGTGCAGGTCCAGGTGCTGGCTTGATGGGGCTCAGTGGGGCGGGGGGGTCTGGGTGCGGAGGGCTAGTCAGGGTGGTCCAGGTGCAGATGGGATAGGAGTAGGAGTTCAAGTGTTGTGGGGCAGTCTGGATGCAGGGGTGGGGTCCAGATGCAGGGAGATGGGACTTGGCAGGGGGGTGTGGGTGCAGGGGGGCTCCAGATGCAGAGGATGAGGCTTGTTGGGGTGTGGCTTTGGTGTCAGGGGCTCCGTGGGAGGGTTCTGGGTGCAGGGAGTGAGGCTTGGCGGGGCAATCTGGGTATGAAGTGGGTCCGGATGCACAGGGGTTGGGTGGACAGGAGAGCAGCTCCCCATACAGTGACCCCTCCCCCTGATGGCTGAGGAGCAATGGGGACAGGAAGGAGGTGGGTGTGAAGCTTCCTGCAGCTGAAAAGGTTTCAGCGGGGTGGTCTGACCCTGGTCGCTCCTTGCAGGGGAAGAGGAAGTCCCATCTTTCCCAGCCCTGCTGGGACTAGCAGCTGAGCCTGGCACAGGGTAGGAACCACTGGCTGGGGCATGTCCCCCCCAGTGATTTACGTCTTTGCTTGCTGCACCGGATGCACCCACGCTGTTGGGGAGTGGCACATGACCGCTTTCATGGCTTCCCTTTGTTTCCCCGTCAGAGGGTCATTTTTCTGTGGGGAAGCAAAGAAATCTGCAGGGGATGTGAATTCTGCACACATGCAGTGGCACAGAATTCCCCCAGAAGTACTTTCATGAGAGAGTTGTAACTTACATGGCTGTCTTCTGCTTACTTCTGTTGTGCAGCAGCAGACAGGTTGATATTACAGATGGGGGAGTACTGTGTGATCTTTAACTGTGCAGAGCCAGCACGGACCCTGAATGACTTCCTCTTTGATTTCTTAGCAAAAGTGCAGTAACTTGATTAAATGTAATCGAGAATATTCAGGATGCTCTCAGTGAAGGACATAGGAATTACCAGACTAATGGTCCCGTAAATCCAGTTCCCAATGCCAGGGGTGAAATTGTGGCCCCATTGACTCTCATGGACCAGCATTTCACTCTAAATGTCTAAGCAGAAGGTACAAAAGAAACCCCTGCAGTAGGGGGAATAATGGAATAACCCATCCACAGAGAGTGTGTCTTCCAAACCTCCGTTAGAAAGAGGGACTGATGGGATAAAAAGATGTCCCGCTTTAGTTCATCTAATGTAACTGCAGAAGTTCTCCCTCTATGTATAAGGGTGAAATCCTACTGTGCTTGTGGCCTCTACTTTCTTGAGTTCCTCTGGTTAATAGGTTCCATGTGTGTAGCTTGGGGAGGGAAGAGAGAGTTTTTTGCTTAGTTTGAATGCTCTTGTTTTTTCAATCTCCTTGCATGTTTTTGTGTTGAGGATAAAATGAAACATCCAATTTTACCTTCTTTGTTCCGTTCCTTATTTTATATACGTTAACCACGTCCCTATTAATCATCTTTCCTCTAGACTAAACAGTCCTGATCTCTAGTCCATCCTCAGAAGTCACTCCAGATCTTCAGTCGCTTTTGTCACCATTCGCTGGACCCCTTCTGTTTCTGCTAATCTATATTCACATAGGGTGACCAGAAGTGACTTTGACTTTGGCATTATACATATTCAGTGTTTTCTATGTCATTCCATAAGCATCCTAAAGTAAAGGTATGCCAATCAAAGGACAGCTAAATTATGGCTTTTAACCCTGTTATTTAAAAACCACTTCATTGATTACACGGGTAAAGCATCTTGTGCTATTGAAAACCTCCTTTTAGGATATCAACGTATCCTCTTCTTTCAGATTACGTTTTTGGGAAAATCAGTGCTAGATTAAATGAGGCAATGTGTGTTTTATCTGGATATAATTTGAGATGTCATACAATCTTTGATCCCTTGTTAATCCCCCCAAATTAAAAAAACATCCCCGCTTGAGGCTTGTCAGCATGTCTGTCTCTAAATAAATGCTTATTATCTAGTGGAATTCCCTTCCAAGATCTGTTTTCCACTCTGGAGGTGTGTTGTTGTTGTTTTTTAATATGGTATCAATACAGAATTACAGCTTTAACTCCTAACACCTAATATGGACTATGTTGAAGTTAGATCTAATTGCAAAACTGAGTATTTGACTCCAAGTGGGATATTAAACCTCTGTGTAACAATGTAACTGGAATAAATGCTGCGTACGATGAATGAGTTAGAAGGAAGTGATTGAGCATTCCTTGGGCTGGGCAGATAGCCATTCTTACGTTTGCCATAAAGTGCTTACGCTCCTGACTTCTGGTAAATGTTGAATGAGTCTGGAATTTTGCCCTCAAGTTTCATCCCAGCCCTTGACTTTCTTTTTCCTTCCTCCCTTGATCTAGGCTTGATGCAACTCCTAGTGAAGTCAACAGGAAGATACCAGACTCCAGTGGGAGCTGGCCTGGCCTTTAAATGAGTTACTTTCACTGTTAGGGGACTTCTTACACTGCTAATACTACAGAAATGACAGTGCTTATGTTCATCTGCAAGTTAGCTTAATAAACTGTGAGTTCTTTCCATAAGTGCCATCAGGCAATCCTTGGGACTCAACTTTTTGTGCTGAAGATGCAGTTCTCTTAACTGTCAATATATTTAACTTCCTTCTGTAAGGGAATGAGGACATGCCAGTGGGTTTAGTTGTATTGCAGTAGTGACTAGAGGCCCTAATCAAGATTCAAGGCCCCATTGTGTGAGAAACAGAAACCTCTGTTTCCTCCTTCTGGGGACCTGGATTCCGAAGTGGTTTATGTCCTGTAACATGGTGGTGTCAACTAGGTATTACAACGGTCTGGTATTGACTTTCCACATCACAAAACTACAATATAATTCAAAATTAAGTAACTTCTGTCTGAGCGAGACTAGCTGTAGCAAGTTATGATTGAGGTGCTTTGTGAAAGAAGTGTGCATGTGTCTGACTGTATCACACCTGCTTGAACTAGGGCTTATTCCTGCTGGTTTCCTGGCATTTGTTTTTGAGTCTAAAATTCACCCTGGTAACTCTCTTCTCCTTCAATTTGACTATCTAAAAATATGTGCGATTAGTTCGGTCTTCTGAAGACTGTTTCTGTATGCAACCATAAATCCTATTTCCGCTTGTGTTCTTGCCTTAAAGTATTGAAATAGCTAATCTACTCTATGCCAGACAACAAAGAGCATTAAAGTACAGTATATAAAAACTGTCAGTATTCCTACTAGTAAACAGCTGAACCGAGGAGAGCCCTTGATCTAGTCCGATAGTTTGGTCCAAATGATAACTCAGCTTAAGGGAATGGCGTTACCACAGCAGATGGCCTTTAGCCTTTTAAATCCCATTTAAATCCACTTTGAACAACTGAGCAAAGCAATCTAATTCTGACTTGATTTGTATTGGCTGGTAAAGCTTACATTTGGGTGGGTGGGTGGATTTTGTGGGTTTTTTTTTTTTTTTTTAAATAAATGGATTGACTTAATTCTATATTTTTTTTTTTCAACAGGAGGAACAATGGACTGGCCCCCAACAAAAGTCAACAGATGCTGGGGGAAGGTGTCCCACCTGAAATGGAGATGATCTGGAAGGCTGAAGTACTCTGAATGAACCAACATGGGTTTGCGACTGTTGGGTTGTCTCTTTAATTTACCCACTGCTGTGATATATGGGTCCCTGTCCCTCTTTGTTTCCATTTTGCACAATGTATTCCTCCTATATTACGTGGATACCTTTGTTTCTGTTTACAAGATCGATAAACTGTCCTTTTGGATTGGGGAGGTAAGTTTCTGAGACATATGTTTTCCTACTGTTCTCAGGATATTCAGTATGATCTGAAACCAAAGCATCAGGTTAGAATATGGGAGAACATTTTGGTAGCTTAATTTCTTTTTTGGCAGGAAATGATAAAGGAGCTAGTAGTATTAGGGCTAAATTGGGTGACCTAGCACTTCTCACTCATAAAAATATACAAAGATAGTCAGCTGGGGTATAAACACCAGCAACTTACATTTTAAAGAGTGCCTTTCCTCTTGGAGAATCCCAGCACATTTCAGACTACACGCAGCGGCGATGAAACACAGCACTGAATGAGTCTGAATGAGACTTCTTGAGTGCCTGTGTCTAGATTTAGGTACCTGACATTAGGCACCCAGGTTTGAAAATGTTGGCCTCTGTGCATTATTCCATCACCTCCCAAAGCATGAGTTCAAACGTGACTTTGAGTCATGTATGAAAATGGGTGGTGTAACCCTATTTGCCAGTAGATTTTTTTTTTTATACAACATAAAGCCATTAAAGAGTATGACTCTCAGCCTGAAAAGGCACAGTATGGGCACAGAAAGGGGGTTTGCAGTACAGTGACAAGGCATATGTTGGGTGGTACATTATCACTATCCAGTACCAATTGGTTGTTATCCCAAGGAACTGTAATGGGTCCCCATCTGGATGCTGGTTACCTCAGTAACAAGACTTGACTGCTAAAGTGATTCATTGTGGCTTGTCTCACTATTGTATCTCTCTTTTCTAGACAGTGTTTCTAATTTGGAACAGCCTCAATGACCCTCTGTTTGGCTGGTTGAGTGACCGGGTATTTCTTAGCACACAACAGTAAGTTTTTGCCATTCATATCCTCCGTTAAATGCTGGAAAGTTAATATCTTCAGAGTAGGCTGGAAAAGATCATGTGAAAATGTCACCTTAAAAAGACTGATTGTTCAAAGAGGAATATTACCTAGGTATGAAAATCTTAAACTCCTCTGCTCATGAAGAAAAGGAGTACTTGTGGCACCTTAGAGACTAACCAATTTATTTGAGCATGAGCTTTCGTGAGCTACAGCTCACTTCATCAGATGTATACCGTGGAAACTGCAGCAGACTTTATATACACACAGAGAATATGAAACAATACCTCCTCCCACCCCACTGTCCTGCTGGTAATAGCTTATCTAAAGTGATCAACAGGTGGGCCATTTCCAGCACAAATCCAGGTTTTCTCACCCTCCACCCCCCCACACAAATTCACTCTCCTGCTGGTGCTAGCCCATCCAAAGTGACAACTCTTTACATAATCAAGTCGGGCTATTTCCTGCATAGATCCAGGTTTTCTCACATCCCCCCCACCCCCATACACACACAAACTCACTCTCCTGCTGGTAATAGCTCATCTAAACTGACCACTCTCCAAGTTTAAATCCAAGTTAAACCAGAACATCTGGGGGGGGGGGGGTAGGAAAAAACAAGAGGAAACAGGCTACCTTGCATAATGACTTAGCCACTCCCAGTCTCTATTTAAGCCTAAATTAATAGTATCCAATTTGCAAATGAATTCCAATTCAGCAGTTTCTCGCTGGAGTCTGGATTTGAAGTTTTTTTGTTTTAAGATAGCGACCTTCATGTCTGTGATTGCATGACCAGAGAGATTGAAGTGTTCTCCGACTGGTTTATGAATGTTATAATTCTTGACATCTGATTTGTGTCCATTTATTCTTTTACGTAGAGACTGTCCAGTTTGACCAATGTACATGGCAGAGGGGCATTGCTGGCACATGATGGCATATATCACATTGGTGGATGTGCAGGTGAACGAGCCTCTGATAGTGTGGCTGATGTTATTAGGCCCTGTGATGGTGTCCCCTGAATAGATATGTGGGCACAATTGGCAACGGGCTTTGTTGCAAGGATAAGTTCCTGGGTTAGTGGTTCTGTTGTGTGGTATGTGGTTGTTGGTGAGTATTTGCTTCAGGTTGCGGGGCTGTCTGTAGGCAAGGACTGGCCTGTCTCCCAAGACTTGTGAGAGTGTTGGGTCATCCTTTAGGATAGGTTGTAGATCCTTAATAATGCGTTGGAGGGGTTTTAGTTGGGGGCTGAAGGTGACCGCTAGTGGCGTTCTGTTATTTTCTTTGTTAGGCCTGTCCTGTAGTAGGTAACTTCTGGGAACTCTTCTGGCTCTATCAATCTGTTTCTTTACTTCTGCAGGTGGGTATTGTAGTTGTAAGAAAGCTTGACAGAGATCTTGTAGGTGTTTGTCTCTGTCTGAGGGGTTGGAGCAAATGCGGTTGTATCGCAGAGCTTGGCTGTAGACGATGGATCGTGTGGTGTGGTCAGGGTGAAAGCTGGAGGCATGCAGGTAGGAATAGCGGTCAGTAGGTTTCCGGTATAGGGTGGTGTTTATGTGGCCATTGTTTATTAGCACTGTAGTGTCCAGGAAGTGGATCTCTTGTGTGGACTGGACCAGGCTGAGGTTGGTGGTGGGATGGAAATTGTTGAAATCATGGTGGAATTCCTCAAGGGCTTCTTTTCCATGGGTCCAGATGATGAAGATGTCATCAATATAGCGCAAGTAGAGTAGGGGCTTTAGGGGACGAGAGCTGAGGAAGCGTTGTTCTAAATCAGCCATAAAAATGTTGGCATACTGTGGGGCCATGCGGGTACCCATAGCAGTGCCGCTGATCTGAAGGTATACATTGTCCCCAAATGTGAAATAGTTATGGATAAGGACAAAGTCACAAAGTTCAGCCACCAGGTTAGCCGTGACATTATCGGGGATAGTGTTCTTGACGGCTTGTAGTCCATCTTTGTGTGGAATGTTGGTGTAGAGGGCTTCTACATCCATAGTAGCCAGGATGGTGTTATCAGGAAGATCACCGATGGATTGAAGTTTCCTCAGGAAGTCAGTGGTGTCTCGAAGGTAGCTGGGAGTGCTGGTAGCGTAGGGCCTGAGGAGGGAGTCTACATAGCCAGACAATCCTGCTGTCAGGGTGCCAATGCCTGAGATGATGGGGCGCCCAGGATTTCCAGGTTTATGGATCTTGGGTAGTAGATAGAATATCCCAGGTCGGGGTTCCAGGGGTGTGTCTGTGCGGATTTGATCTTGTGCTTTTTCAGGAAGTTGCTTGAGCAAATGCTGTAGTTGCTTTTGGTAACTCTCAGTGGGATCATAGGGTAATGGCTTGTAGAAACTCGTGTTGGAGAGCTGCCGAGCAGCCTCTTGTTCATATTCCGACCTATTCATGATGACAACAGCACCTCCTTTGTCAGCCTTTTTGATTATGATGTCAGAGTTGTTTCTGAGGACAGTGGGGTGGGAGGAGGTATTGTTTCATATTCTCTGTGTGTATATAAAGTCTGCTGCAGTTTCCACGGTATACATCTGATGAAGTGAGCTGTAGCTCACGAAAGCTCATGCTCAAATAAATTGGTTAGTCTCTAAGGTGCCACAAGTACTCCTTTTCTTTTTGCGAATACAGACTAACACGGCTGTTCCTCTGAATCCTCTGCTCATGGTATCCTGAAAAGTTGGATGTTGCTGTTGTGGCTTCAGGGTTGGGTGCTGCTTGTCCATCACTTCAGTGTGTGGAGGAGGAGGTGGTCATCCACAAGCATAGTTATCCTAATGCCCCCAGTCAAGTCACCTTGCGGGACTGAGTCTGGAACTCTGGATCTAAAAGCACGAGCCTCTGCTGCTTGAGTTAAGTCCCATTAAACTTGGAGTCAATAGCTGACGTACAAACCCCTATGCATGGTCCGTCCCCTAGAGTGAGACAGAGCTACACTGTTGTAACCCGTTGAACAATCTGCATTGTTGTGAAGCAGACAGTGCTGGCCTGCCAAGAAGGGCTCTGTTCACTCCTGTGTGTTTGCTTATGTTCCTGGTGTTGGGGCCTGTTATCTCCTCACATTAACAGAGCCAGATGGGAGCTGAACAAAGACACTTACTGCCCTGACAAATGCAGTGTTGAGATCGCTTCTACTGCCCTCTGAGCCTTTCCTATAAGGGAATAGAGGGTGTGGCAGGGACACTTCCCAGGAATTGTGACCAAAGTTTTTCTCTTCTCTTGCAGGTCAGGGGTGGAGATCTCCTCACCAGAAGTCATTCTTAAGAGACTTCAGGCACTGAGCCGCAATGGGCCCCTTTTTGCCATCTCTTTCCTGGCTTTCTGGGTTTCGTGGGCCCATCCTGGTCTACAGTTCCTCCTCTGCCTCTGCCTCTATGACAGCTTTCTTACCATGGTGGATCTCAACCACAATGCCTTGCTCGCAGACCTGGCTGTTTCTGCAAAGGACAGGACTAGCCTAAATTTCTACTGCTCGCTTTTTAGTGCCATCGGTTCCTTCTCTGTCTTCATGTCCTATGCAGTGTGGAACAAAGAAGACTTCTTTTCTTTCCGGATATTTTGTGTGGTGCTGGCTCTCTGCTCTGTTGCTGGATTTACTCTGGCAACGTGGCTGCTAAGACAACGATTTGAGACTGAAGTGAAATGGGACCAAGAGTCAACTTTAAAAGAGTAAGTGGCACCAAACTACATAGCATCAGATAAATGCCCATCTGATGTTGTGGGTCTGAGTCTCGGATGGGTTCATACTTGGGGTAGCTAGTCCCTGTTGCCGCTGTGACTACACTCTTTTTAGCGTGCTAGCTCAATTTGCTGGGACTTGTACCCGCAGCTCCAAGTGTAGATCACTTTTCAAAATGGGAACCTAAGAAGCCCAAGTCGTTTAGGCATTTTTGAAAATTTTACCCGACAGCTGTAGCTTCGTCCCTTCAAAATTCAGAGTTGCCAAAAACAAACAAAAAAAACCCAGAAAACCTAAGGCGATAGAGGGACAGAGTCCTGAGGAAAGACTTAGAAAACTGGCCCACGCTAACTAGTCTCTTAAAGTCAGATGTGCCATTGCACATGCCAGAAAGCATATTTAATCTGAGTGCAGCTATCCTGAATAGGTGTGGTGTTGGGAGTATCCTGCTTACAGATGCATGAGAGCCCATCTGCATTGCACTTCAGTAGTTGCATGTGTAGTTCTGCACACAGTTATGTGACTAGCTGACTAAAAAATGGGCTCTTTATGTCTAGCTTGGCTAGCTGACGACTGGTAGGCGGTTTTCATGTCTCCCTACAAGTATGTAAGTGTAAATACCAGTGAGGAAAAGGGGAATTACTCGAATTGTGTATAATTGGGGAATTATGGGATGAATTTAAGAGAAGGAAGATTTAGGCTGATGACCAAGAAAGGTATCCTAATGCTGAGATCTCCTGGGCTGTGAATAGGCTTCCAAGGGATTGGTTGTGCAATCCCCATCTCATGGGACATCTGAAACTAGGCTGGGGCATAGCACTAGTGAATGCATTGCTGACAGTAGTCCTGTTCTTGGTGGCAGATGGAAGCTACAGGTAACTTTTTGTCCATCCCTTAATTTCTAGAGTATACACTAATAGTAAAAGGTCTGTGCCTGTTAAAATGTCAGCACAGCATTGTCATAGAAATGTACTTGCTCTCCCTTTATCATGAGGATGGAAAAAGTAAATATATCTTTCTTGTCTGTCTTACTGCCTGACACTCGCTAAGCAGCTGGCGTCTGCATACTGCTCATTCCAGTGTTCATAACTCACTGTGCCCTCGCGCTGCCCCCTCTGTTGTATCCACTTGTCTCATCTCGTAAACTTAGATTATAAGTGCACTTTAGGGCAGGGACTGTCTTTGTTTGTGCAGTGCCTCACATCCTGTAGGTGGTTCCACAATAAAACGAACAATAAAGATTGGGACTAGAGTAGTAGGAATCTGTATTGGACTGTAATAGCTGCCCGGGGGAGGGATGCTCTTACTGGTGCAGATTTGAGTTGCTGACTCATTAGGCAAATATTCCAAGTTTTTGATGACCCTGGTTCTGGTTGTGGCTTCCATCAAGGAGCAAATATCCTGCCAGCTTCTGACTTGCTCCGTGAACAGAGAAGATGAATGGTAGGATGAGGAAAGTAGCCAGCATTGCATCAGTGCATACACTTCTGAGCAAAGCAGGGAGCACTGAGTTTACAAGCCCCTTGGGAGTGCAGAGGAAGGGGGATAACAGACATTCTCACATGCGCAGAAACAATTAGAGTGGTTTCATTGTTCCTGTAGATTGTACATTGAGCAACCATCTGCCCCGCTGGAGAAGAGGATTACGCTGGGAGAGTATCTCAAACAGCTGTCCCGGCACCACAACTTCCTCTGGTTCGTCTGTATGAACCTAGTACAGGTAGGTGTAGCACGGACGCTCTAACCTAGTGATTCGGATGAGAGCTGTTAGCCAAGCCAGTCTGAAATTGATTCAAAAGGATATTGGTTCCTTATGAGGAAAGTAGTGGTGTCTGAATAATGCCATAACTCCTCTTGGTGCTTTCTGCACATGCTTGTGTGGCTTCGCATCGGCCAGCTGTTCTGTTACGGGGGGATTCCCTGTGGAGTCTGAGGGTCTTACTCTTCCATCTACAGCCAAGAGGGGTGATTAAGTGTAGGCTGAGCTCCTGCTTCACTAAAGAGTGGAAACTCTCAGCCTTTCAGAGACCATCACGTGCAGTTTAACAAGGATGCTGCATTTTAATGCCTTATCATGGCTGTTGGGGAGAATTACTAGTGCAAAAGCAATGGCCAGAGAAATCCTAGTTCCTATCATCGAATGCCTTTGAGAACAGCTTGGAAACACGTTTTTTTTCCCAGCCTTCCTGTGAGAGCACTGAACCTCCCCTTCTCCCCCCTCCCCCACATTCCTGAGGTTCATGTCACAGCCACTGGGCTCTACTCAGAGCTAGTCCTCAGCTAGGTGCCCACAGAGATGACTGCCAAACAGAACACTCTCCACAGCATTGTTGCAGCACTTGCAGCCTCAGTTGTCTCTGAGGGTTTGGTTTTCCCACACAGTAATGCACAGTGTAGCTGCTGAGCTGGCCTGGCCTGGCTTTGGGCCATTCATGGTGGCCATCTGTCTCATGGGGTACAAGGGTGTAACTGATGGCTCTCAGAGGCGGGTGCAGATGGCTCTGCAGACAGCGTGCTTTATTTATACAGATGCTCTGATGCCAACTTCTCTGCTTGACAGATCCTACCTGTAAGAATTGCATGTTACCCTGGCACTAGACTCCGAGTGGAGTGGAGCCTAGCACACTATTGGCTTAGGCTTCCTCTTCTTGCTCTGAGTATTGCTGGTCAGTTAATCTTTGTGCTGTTTTGTCACAGGTTTTTCACTGCCACTTTAACAGCAACTTCTTCCCTCTCTTCTTGGAACACTTGCTGTCAGATCGGATCTCTCTCTCTACAGGATCCTTCCTACTAGGTGAGCTTGCGAGGGGAACTGGAGTAAGCAGCACCCTAGAGCTGATGGGTTGGTACTTGGCTCAGCCCTGGGTTCTTTCTTCGAAAGCACTGAGACTCGGGAGAAAGGTGCACTCTTTTCTCAGGGCTCCAGGAGTGACACTTGGCCTACCTATCCCCAGATGGAGCCATTGCTGCAACCATCTTGGATCTTAGACTTTCCCCTCCCTTCACAGACACACAAGAAATAATCTCCAACACTTTTCAGGGGCAGGATGGGGAGAGGCAGGCATTGGATCTCTGACCTGGGTTTCACAGATGTACAGGTGCGTGTGTGAGAGAGAGACCTAGATCTGGTCAGCTCTGCAAACCCAGGTCTGGAGTTGAACCCAGGGGACAAGACCATGAGCTCAGTCACTTTCTCTTAGTTGCTGTTGGAACGTGCCCAAGCTGCCACCCAGATCTGCGTGATTGGCACTGCAAGGTTCAATGGCGGTTCAGCTCTGGAATACTAGGGTTGTCTCTGGGTCAGGGCTGAGATGCTTTGGCACTGCCATGTCGTCTGACTTACCTCGCAATGCTCCCGTCTGTGAAATGGGGATAACACTTGCCTCCTTCACGGGAGGGTGGTGAAGATCTTTGTGCAGTGCTTGGGACGTAGAAAGTACCATGTAAGGGCTGAGTACTTCCGTTATCCCCAAACTCACTCAGTTTAAAAGTCTAGTTGTTCTATGGTTTTCCTTCTAATGCCCTGCTGGATGAACTGTGCCTTGTCTTGTCTCTGCTCGGTCTCAAGGCACTGCCAGATGCTGAAACTCCCTTGAACTGTTTGCCTCTCTCCGCAGGTATTTCCTACATCGCCCCTCATCTCAACAACCTCTATTTTCTGTCTCTCTGTCAAAGATGTGGGGTTTACGCAGTGGTGCGAGGGCTCTTCTTCCTGAAACTGGCTCTCAGCATCATCGTGCTTCTAGCTGGACCCGACCAGGTGTATCTGCTCTGCATCTTCATAGCCAGGTAAGTTGCTTATTTAGGGTTTCATTGACCTCTGTGCCTATAGGTGAGCTGGTGGAAGCTGTCCAGGTGGTTAGCCACCCCAGGGAGGCTATGAGGCATCTCCATATTACAGCTGGTGAATCTCAGGCGTACAGGTGAGGCATGGTCATGCAGCAAGTCACTGTCAGAGCTGAGAGTAGAACCCAGGAGTCCTGAGTCTTGACCAAGTGGTCCAACCACTAGATCGTGTTGTCCCTTCTAATGAAGAACTCCCTCACCTCCGATGGACTGAGCAAGATGAACTGAACAATCCGTGATTACACCACACTTCATAAAAACCTTGTTTAAGGACAAATGAGGAAATAACATGCTCTTCTCAAAAATCAGGCTGTGTCTGCAAATGCTGGCTTGGCTCTGGTGTGTGGGACTGTCCTCACATAAGCAGGGATGACTAAGGGCAGCTGCTTTCAAACATACTGTCATCTGGTGTGTGAACTCAACTTGTGGGCATTGCCACGTGACCTGTTCCTGGCAGGACTGTCCCTGGACCAGGTGAACCACCACAGGTCAGCAGGCTGTACAATGGACTCAAGTGCTCAAGACGAGGCAGATGGTTGTTCTCTGGATCAACTGCATCTTTGTAGTTCTGGGTTGGTGGGAGGAAGGCTGGGCTTGTGGCTAGGGCGCTAGCCTGATACTTGGGAGCACTGGTTTCAGTTCCCAGCTCTGTGATGATGTGATCTTAGGCAAGTCCTTTCTGTGTGCCTGTTTCCCCAGCTGCAGAATGGGGCTAGTACCCGCCTCAGAGGGGTGTTTGATGTTAAACTTCATGTAAAGTGGCTGGCAGGTGCTAGGGAGAGGCAAAGCAGCATGGTTCTGTGACAGCCCTCTCTGTATTTAAGTGCTCCCTGTTTCCACATTCGGCTGTGTAATGCCCTTTCTGCTGTGCTCCGCAGTAACCGGGTGTTCACAGAAGGAACGTGCAAGCTGCTGAACCTGGTTGTCACTGACCTGGTGGATGAGGATTTTGTCTTGAACCGTAGGAAGCAGGCCGCCTCAGCGCTGTTGTTTGGGATGGTTGCCTTGGTAACCAAGCCAGGCCAGACCTTTGCCCCCCTGATTGGCACCTGGTTGCTCTGTACTTATACTGGTAAGTGACGTAGGAAGTGTTGTCTGGGGACAGCAGTAGGGTGGGGCTGAGATGAGTGCCTCTGCTGGCTTTTGTGATGTGAAATACTTGGACAAGGTCCACTGGCAACATAGTCTGCAGGATGTTTTATTACTTAACAGGTTGTCTAAGTTAACACTCCATGTACCTTTGCACCCATGCCACCTGGGGCGGTACTGTCAGAGCTAATAACCTGACCAGGGGAAGGCCTGGGCAGTATTTGTATGGGAGACCAGCTGGGTGGGAAGTGGTTGAAGTGATTCACTGTGGGCGTTCGTACTGGACCCATGGCCCAGTGAAGATCCATGTGCTGCATTTCAGTGAAGGATTAGCTTGACACCACCACCTACCTCTCATGTTGAGAGACATCAGATTTGAACTCAGGCCTGTGAGATAGAGATCTGATACTAATCCATCTCCCCACACCTGTGCTAAACTCCTCCCTAGCAAGATCTGCACCCCTCCGCCTGTGCATTGTCATCCCAGGGACACTGTATCTGAATTGCACTGAGAGTTGCTTGGGCTATGGGACCTTGTGTTCGGTGGCTGTGAAGCCCAGACCCCTGAGGGAGGTGTGGTGAGCTCCATGGTGGTCTGAAGGTGCGTGGCATTTTTACAGTTTCTAGCTGAGTCTTACAAACTGTTTTGGCCTCAGGTTATGACATTTTCCAGCGGGCCCCTCTGAGCAACGTGGTGAGCGCCCAACCAAAGTTGGCATCCAATGCAGCCTGGGAACCAACTCTGCGCCAAGGCTGCTTTTATCTCCTCGTCTTCATTCCCATCACATGTGCATTACTGCAGCTCCTCAGCTGGTCGCAGTTCAGCCTGCATGGAAGGCGTCTCCAGACGGTCAAGTCCCAGCGCCAGAGCCTGACTCAGAGTCGATCACAAGAGATCAAAATGATCTAGATGTGCCTGAGCCCTTCAGCTCTCACTGGCTCTGTGCTGTGGGTGTGGTTATGCCTCTCTACAGTCCAGGAGATGCAGACTGAGACAAAGGGGCTTGCTGGTTAAGAACTGAAAGCGTTTACAATTCAACTGTGAAATACTCACAATGCAGATGTTTCCTCGCTCCAGGGGACAGTCGGTTTGGCAGGCAGGTACTCCAGAGACAGGGGTGACTGGTGCGTGCTCCGATTGGGGGTGTTTGCTCAGGCTATCAGATGGAGTCTTAGGTCTTGCACTTTCTGCACCCAGGGCCCACTGAGGTGCTGCTGATCTCAAGGGAGGGTGGGTGACAGTGGCATAGAGTAAAGGAGACAGACATTCTAACACAGTCTCTAGTGCAGTATCTCACCCCAGGGGGCATCGGTGGGAAAGCAGATGCTGTTGGGCCAGCCCAATGGTGGTTTTGTGCAGTTCCATCCCGGAAACCTGGGCTCAGGGCAGCTCTGCATTAGAAATGTTACCAGTGTGCTAGTTAAGGGAGTGACTTGATTTTATGTTTTACTGGCAAAAGTCCCAGTGTAGACGCAGTTATACAGGCAAAATAAAGCTTTTGTGGATAAAGCTTATTTGGTTCAGGGAACTGGTATCAGGCACACAGGCAAAAGCATTCTTGTGTTGCTACAAGCTGCATCTCCACATAGCCCTACCTGCAATCCTTTCTAGTGTGGACTAGGCCTCTGTCTCCTGCCCTGCTCTCACTCCCTAGCTCACCAGGAGCAGGCAGGGTTGCAGAGGCATTGTGGTCATCTCCTTCGGGGCATGGATGCTGTTCCTCACCAGGCCCTGCAGCCAGTTAGGGGGCAGGCATGACATTCTCTGGCAGGGGAGGGCTGGAAGAAATGGTGACTCTGAGGCAGGGCCCTGGAGTTAGAAAGGGGTTTACTGCATGAAAAATTGGGATGGGGGAATCTTTTGGGAATTGGGATCTGAGACTCTTCAGTGTAGCTACTCCCTGCTGATGTAATGTCTTGCACCTAATTCACTGCAGAGAAGTGACAGTTCTTAGATCAAGCCCATTCTGTCGGGTTCAGGACAAGCCTGTTCCCCGGAATCATTTAATGTGAAGCAGAATTCCTTTAGCAAGATCAACACTCGTATTGCAGCTGCAGAAGTCTCTCCTGGGATGTTACTAAATGTGACACTTCTTGAAGTCATTCAACAGCCCAGAAGAAGCTGGGGGGACTTGCCCATTGAGCTGGGAGCCCAAATGAGGGGAACTCTTTGCTCAGAGTCCCAGTGTTAATCGCTTTCACGCAACCTGCAGAGGCTTGTGTGAACGTGATGCCAGACTCCCTGCAGTGAACGGGCACCTTCCCCGTGTTACTGCCTTTCATCGGGGGTTGCTTATCTGCTTCTTTCTCTGCTAAATGGCTCATGGTTCTTGAAGCCCATTTTTAAACACAGTGTAGGACCTCCTGATGTGGGGAGGGGTTGCTCTAGAGCCAAAGGGAATTGATACAGCAACACCAGCTTTGTTGTGGACCTGTACACCAGCAAGACCCATACCCAGTGAGAGTGCTGAGCACTGTAACCCCTCCTCTTTGCAGCCTGTAAGTAAGATGGCACAGGGCCTTACCACACAAGCCCTGTGTTCACAAAAGCATTCATCCCTGCAGTACAAGTAATACCCCTGAAATCAACAGAACTGCCTCATCCCAGAGCTGTAGGATTGAGCTCCATGGAACCAAACTGTACCTGGTAAGGGGAATAGTTCTGTGTCTGCCCCAGTCTGGGGGCAGTGGAGACTCTATTTTAAATCATCCTGACAAACCTTATTATGAGCCTAAGACTGAGCCTCTCCACTGCTGGGGAGGGGAAGCTCAACCCTTCTTGTACTCCTAGTTCTTCTCTTCTATCATTAGTGAAATTCAGGCCCATTGAAGTTGATGGTAAAACTCCCACTGACTGCAGTGGGGGCAGGATTTCACCCCATCTGTGTAAATAGACATTTGTTTTATGTCATCTGAGAGTATACGTGCTGAGAATTTAGAGCAGTATCTAAACCAGTGAGAATGGCAGATCTGATGATAAATTGCTTAGACTTTTTTGTCTTGTCTTATTTTAAACCACGTCCTAGTGGTTGACTGACTAGCTCAGCAGCCAAACAGAAGTTCTGGAGCGAGATAGCAAGAGGGGTTGAAATCTACAGAAGGCCTTGATCACGCTGGGGTCAGAACAAGCACACATTTGTAGCGAGCACAGTTCTGATCCGGGTTGCAAGCAGGGGCCGTTGATCTGTGAAATCCCCTGACTGGTTTGTCTCGGAATGGTTTATGCTGAATCTATTTCTGCTTGAGTCAGCAAAACTGGATCATGACCAAGATGCATCATGCAAAACATTTTGGGATTTGGTCTGTTTTGACTGGAGGTGGACAAGCACCCGCCTACTCTCTCAGCTGTAGGAGAACAAGGAAAGCATGGGGAGCAGGTGAAGGCCAAACTCCCCCATCATGTATGTGCTGTGTATTCAGTTAGACACCAGCTAGGTGCCCCCTCTTGTTCTGCTGTTAAGGGTGGAGCCAGCCAAACTACTGCCATTTCACCTCAGGACACAGCCGCCTCGGGTCTCAGACCAAGATGTAACGAAGCTGTAATCGTTACTGCCTGGAGGTGTCTGTATCTTTTGATGGTTAAATTTTAACTTATTTATGTAATTTTTAACAAACTTTGACAGATTCTTCATTTCCTAATGAGCTGATTAAAAATTACCTTTTCTGTATTGCTGTTCTGCGGTTCAGTGTGGGCTGGGTGTGTTAATATTGGCAGTTTCTGGAGTGCTTTACAAACCAGCTAATGCTGGAGAATCACTTTTCAGCTTGCTAAGCTTGGTCTGAAGAGTTCTGGACTAGATTGCTCCTCTTGGATCTCAAGCTCCCAGCATGAACCAAGTGGGATTTGTAGTTCCTGAGGTTTTGGCCTTTCATCGCCAGTAGCTGTTGCACACAAACCAAATACCAGTGTCCTCCCAAATGCTCCTCTCAAGTTCTTTTGACTGCAGCCTGGGCAGGTGCTCCCTATCCAAACTGCAGCCCTTGTGGCAGACGGTGCCAGTTTTGGTTTTGCTTGTGACTGGGCTTTTGTATCCTTGGTATCTGACCTGTTCCAGGTTCTGCCGGGCTTGGAGCACCAGTCTCTTTCCAAGCCCGTTTCCTTGGGCAACATCACCCCACAGGTGCTGCTCTGCACTGTAAACTGCACGCTTTTCAGTCTTGGACATATGCAAGGCAGCCATATGGTCCCCGCTCCAAATGCCTACAGTACTGTTGCTTCAATTCAACCCAGTATGGCAAATCCCACTTGGTTCTCTGGCCTGAAAAACCTGTTGCTGGAATAGGGGAACCTAGGCTTTCCCTCTCCAGAGGGTTCTGTTATTGGCATTCATCTCCAGAGAAACCGGAGTGTGTGAATGTTACTGATAGTGCACTCTCTGCATGGAAAACGTTTGCCTTGGTGTGTATCTGTTTGAGGTTCACACTCCCCTTTCCCTAATATCAGCTTTGCATCCCTCTGGTGGTTCTTCCGTTCTTTGCAGTGGCTATCAATTTTATGTGGGGGGAGGGCCATGGGGGAAAGGAGGGAATTCAGTGGTGTCGAATCTGGTGTCTGGCTCCCCTCATTTTACATTGGGCTGTTGGCTCTGAGTGCAAGGGAACTCGCAGCCCCATCGGTGCACAATCCTCCTTCCTGCAAATACATTTTGAGGTAAGGTTCTGCTGACAAAAGCTTTACCTGCTCCTTCCCCATCAGTGTTAATACGGCTTTTCCATCTGCTCGGATTCCCCTTCCTAGCAAATAAACACTTAGTGGCCGGAGCCAGTGCTCCCCCTTCCGGTGTGGTTCTGCTCCCAGTCAGCTCTCCTGGTCACTTTTCTGCTCTGCTGTACACCTGGAAGGAGGGAGCAGCCACTCCCCTGGGCCAGTTCTCTTCTCTGGGTGGAAAGTAGCTGAATCCATTGAGCAGGTGTACTTCTGCCCACTGAGAGGGAGCGCAGTACTGTCACTGTGAGCGGGAGAGGGGTGTGTGTGTAAGGACTAGGACTTACTCAGATATTTTACCACTTCCCCTTCCTCCTGGGCTTTCCTCCCTTGCTGCCTCAGTGGTCTGTTCTCCCAAAGAAAAGCTCAGACATTGGTCTTCAGCTGGCACCAAACGAGTCACAGCCACCTTCAACTCCATTCCTGCAGCGGTCTGTTCTCTGGGAAAGCTGTGGGACCCGGACACCATCTTAAAGCTTGGGATACAAGCGCCTTCAGGGTAGCACCGGCTGAATTATTAGAGCAAAACTGGTGTGAACACCAGTGGGCCCCCTGTGGCAAAGGATAACCCCTAAGCCCAGCTGTTGTACCCTCAGCTGGCTAATCTCCCTTGGCTATAGCTTTCCTCTATTTGGCACCCTGCTGTCTCCATGCTCTACACAGAAGGGAAGTGCTTTCCCTTCCTCTCAAAGCCACCCTGTGACAGGGTAGGAAGGGGGCCAGCCCCCTATGGAACAGCTGTAGCTGAGCAGTGACCATTTCTAATTAAATCAGTGCATGAGTAAGCAGAGATAAAACTAGCCACAGGTGACTGAGGAGCAGCCCAGGATCATGATTCACACGCAGCTCCAAGGCAGGAAGCTGATTGAATTAAATACAGTTCAGGGCTGGCACTTTCAGTGCATTCTCCACCTGCTACTACCTCACCATTGATGCTTCAGACAAAACAGGAAATGAAAATGCAAAGCAAGGGCTGGGGAAGCTGTGCTGGGATCCTCTGAGGTAATTTCTGGTCTGGCTCCTGTGTGTTCTGTTCTAGAACCATTGGCCTTCAGCCTCCTGGGGGCTCGTCTTCAGCAGTCTTCTGCTCCACAGAATAGGAGCAGGCGCCAGGTGGAAACTAAGTCCAGTTTATAGGTCCCTTGTAAAAACACTGTCTTGTACTTGGTCTGGCCTGGCTTTCAGCTGTGATTACTGGGACTTCACCTTTATTACTTTCAAACCATAGCTCACATCTTTCCTTTCAGCAGGGGTCCCTTAGGTTGTTCGATAATCCTTGCTAACTATCATGCTGTGAAACGAAGTCTTAAATTTCCAACTGCAGACCCATTTGTTGGCTCTGACCAGAGTCTTCCCCCGTCCTTTCAGCCTATTCTTACATGTGGAGTAGCCTGCTCTGAACTGTTCCACCAGGCTGTTACCTTCTCCGGAGTTGGATTCCTCCTACATGCCCCACTTCTAAATTACCCAGCTGCCTGGGGCGAGGGAGATTTTTTTTTTTAAAAATGTCTGTCAGTCACCCTCCTCCCCCTCAACTTGTCTGTTTGGTCCCTTTGTCCTACCCACTTCAAATGCTGTGGAGTGTAAGTGTACAGCCCACAACCGTAACTTCTGAAATGACCATGAGCGTTTCAGGGGAAGAAATTGTCTCCAGAGCAATTGGTGTAAGAGCCCATCCAGCCCCCCTCTGCAGACAGAGAGATGCAGGTTTTTGTATATGAACAGCTTTATTTAGGTATGTTGGGTACCAGCAGGCACCACGGTTGGGAGAGGTGTGCGAGGAACAGCGTCAGGCTGATAGAACGAACGCTAGATTGCAGATAGCGCCTTTGGCTGGTGAGTGGGGCTTACAAACAGAACCCTGCCCAGAGCTGCTGCTCCTGCCAGCTCCAAGTCTGGATAAGGAATATGGGGTCAGGCAAGAGAAGAGGCAGCAAACTTGTAAGCTGTCCTATGCTGTTCTTAACACAGTGTCATTCCCTTCCATGCATCACCTGCTATCTGATGCTGTCCAACAATGTGAATACAAGTACAGCTTATTTTCCAACAGAACAGGCTCTTTGTGTCAGCAGCTATTCCTCAGCAATGGCCTTTTACTTCAAACCACCATTACTTTGTTCTTAGAAGGACTGGGATAAGTAGGAAGCTAAACATCAGCCCAGTTTCCCACTAGTTATTTGCAGGGGAAATGAGTTCAGTAGTGGGGAGGGGAGGGAAAATGGGGGAGCCTTTGCAACACCAGCTGTTAGTGGCTAAGCCTTTATAATACATGCTACTGCTTGAGTAGTGCACTGCAAACAGACGATGCAACGGTGTAGCTGGCCTCTCTGCCTCGTCCAGGCGGGAAGCTGGCACTGCATGGAAGTATGTTCCCAAACTACCCTATCCTGAAGTGGAGTGTTGCATCTCATTGCTTTCTACAACCACATCTGGCAGCTTTGGCTGATGCCAGAGGTCCCTTCTGGTGCTTTGCAGCTTGAGTAGGTTAGTTCTAGGCCAGGGTGCAGCCTGCATGGCTGAACCTGCTCCCACTTTAGAAAGCGAATGTGCTGCAAGTCATGCAAACAAAGGGATGGGGGCCACGTAGAATTTGCCTGCATGCAAATTAAAGCGTGGTGTCTAATCCTCTCATTTCCCTTTTCTCTGCACTGCCAACTACTGAAGCTGTCATAAATGTGTAGCATTTTCTAGAAGCGGTGATCAAAACATGAGCAGCTAAGACCTGTGGGAATTATATAAGCCTATTTCTTCCTTGTGTGTCTGGAAAAGACAGTAATTTCTTAGGCTCATGTCTGATGATATAGCAAAGATTTTAAATTCAAGTTTAGTTCTCTAGGGAGGCAGCAGATTGGCAAGGGGGGGGGAGCCATAGGTAGCACTAGCTGCTTACAGCTGGGGGAGACCCTCCTCCACCTCCTTGGCCTATTCCAAAGCAACTCTCGAAATCAGGATGTTAAATCAGATTTAGGGAGTGCGTAGACCTTCAACAGCCGATGGCCTCACAGCAGGCTAGTGAGCCAGACTTGCAAGGGAAGGAGACTGTTACAGCTCAGAGGTGAATTAAGAACAAACTTTTATCTACCTGGTGCAGGCAGGCTACAGAGTGGAGTGCACAGATGGGATACAGAAAGGGAATCAATAAGCAACTGACTTACAAGGCTGCAAAAAGAGACTTGGTGCTAGCGGGCACTGCAATTCTATCCTCGGTCACTTTTACCTTGGTGCAGGGGATGGACTTTATCAGCTGGCCTAGGAGAATCGGCCCTCCTTGCAGAGCTCTCTCTCCTGTGCTGTCTGCTTTAGGCTTCGGTGCTTTTATAACAAACTACAGCGTAGCTGCAGCCTACATGGCTGCTGCTGACAACATTTTATAGGCTACTGCCTACTGTCCCCCCGCTACTCCTAAAGCGCCTGACCTCGAGGGAGACTTTCCGTAGAAAATTCTCTGACTGCTGCCAGCCTCTAGGGCTTGTCTACACTGGCCATTACCAGCCCTGCAACTTTCTGCTGGGAAAAAGCACCCCCCAGCGCAGCAAGTTGGGTGCTGGAAAGCACCAGGGTAGACCGTGCCCCAGCGCTGGGAGCAACACCTCTCGTGGAGGTGGGTCTTAAGGCCTCTCCCAGCGCTCTGCGGCAACTACGCAAGGCACGTTAAAATGCTGCCACAGCAACGCTTTAGCCTTGCCCGGGTAGACTAGCCCTTAATGTCACCAAAGTCTCCCTCCAAAATGCTCAATGGCGTTAATGAGGCCGTGTCAGGCTGCCTAGCGAGGCTTTATCAGTTTACACCAGTGTTGAGACAGGAGGGCCCTGATCTTACCTTATTCAACACCCCAGCTGCATTAAGGTCTGGCTCAGGCATACTGGGCCTCTGTGCATTTTCAAAAGGTGCTGCCCCTCTATACGAATGGCACTAGCCCCCCTCTGGCTGGAGGCCGCACTGGTTTTGGTGCAGTATAACAAATGAAATTGGTGTAGCAGGAGCTACTGCCCCGGAAAGGTCCTATCTTGCACCCCTCCCTCTCTATCTTCTTTGTTCCTAAAGGGGTGTTTTGCCCTAACTGGATTTTAAGACACTTGAATACATAAATACAACTGGGTGCGATTGCAGCAGCTTCCAACAGCATGGTACTGCCAGCCTCACTCTTCTTGGGGGGGTGGAAGGTGAGACTGACTCCCACTCACGTTCTTGCTAGCGTAAACAGACACTGCCCTGACAAAAGCAGTAGGAGAGGCACCGGGATTGAGCCGGGAGCAGCCTCCTCCTGGAATTTATTCCTCGGCAGGCTAAGAAGAAAATTCTATCCCTCCCACCACACTGTGTCGCTCCCCTGCAGAGCTGGGGCGACCAGATTCTGTTCGGCACAGGCCCTACCAGCCAGAAGTTGTCCTGGAGCCTGTCAGTACCACCGCTGCAGGCATGGTGTTAAGAGGGGAAGGGGAGCTTGTGAAGCAAAGGATGCAACAGCACGTGTAGGAATTACTGGTGTTTACAGCTTCCGTTTCAAGACACAAAGCAGGGATTTACCACAGGCATGTTACTTAAAAAACAAAACGCACTAGCCAGACGGTCTTCTAAAGGAGCAGGCATTAACACTTTTTTCCCTTTAATGATAAGCCCAAAGTCTGCATTTGCATCGTTGCATGTCTGATGGAGGCAGCTGGCTTTTATAGTAGACATAAAGCTAACTGCATATTCTAAATCCAGGGATTGAATCTCCAACTATCTATGTAGTATCTAAAATAAAAACAGGTGCTTTAAAAAAAAAAAGTTTTGGATGGTTCCTCTCCCCCTCCATGTCCCTAGAGGTGCAAATCCGTGAGGAGGTAGGAAAAGCTCTGGGTTTCTCGAGGATGCTTCTTTCCTACTTAAAATACCTTCCCCTCCTCCTACCACAAGCGTGTTCTTTTCAAAGACCCAGACTTGGCTCTATGTAGAGATAAGGCTACTACCCTGACTCCACAACTCCCTTGAGTTCTCCTCTAATACTTAAGTGGCTAAACCAGGCAAAATATTTGGTTCTCAGCAGCAACCTCATTTAAAAAACAAAACACTGAGAAGTAAAAAGCACCAGCTGCTCCCTCAGAACAGAACACACCCACCCAGAGCAGGTACGTGGCCTTCCATACGCTGTCGCGGTGTCATGCCGGAAGGGTTAGCCGCGCGTAACACTACAGAGGCATGAAGAGCCAGTGCTCAGGCACCTGATGATGATGCCAACGTACCACCCGGTTCATTGTCCTCTCACGTGCTGCGTTCCTAGAGAACGCTGACTCTCTAGCGGTAACCAAGAAGCATTGTGGGGTTGACTAGCTGGCTACGATGCTAGGCATGTGTGCTGTAAACATTAGTGTTAGCATTAAACAATGGAAAATTCAGTTGAAGGGTCTTGGAAGGAGAGCAGCAGACTCACCCAGAGGGGCAGCCGCTGCCCCTGGAAACAGCAGCTCTGTTAGTAACGTAGATATTAAACATTTCAATAAATAAAATAATTCAAAAGTTACAATGTGCTTTTTTGCCCAAGGACGGATCAAATGGAAGAGGTTTTGTCTGGCTGAAAATGGATGGTTCCTTGACCCTGCTGTGGGAGAAAGGGGGAAAAAATGCAGCTTCCTCTCTTACAGAGAGAGGACACGGCCCTGTAAACCTCTCAAAGCAAACACCCTAGTGCCTTTGTACCCATCCTGGGCACCTGCCTCACAAGGAGAAGGAACGTCCATGAACAAGAGACTAAGATCATAACCGTCTAGTACAATCAGAGCAGAGGAGGGGTGGTTGTGACCTACACCATGCAACACAAACTAAGTCCTATCAGCAGTTGCTCCAGCTGTGGTCCATACCCATGGAGCAGGCTAAGAGTTTACATACACACACACACGCAGACACACCAAAAACAAAACCAAAAAAAAGGGGAGGGGGTTGTAACTGCTCCCAATGTGTTTTTTCTGTATAAAAAAAATAAAATTAAAAAAAAACAAAACTGGCCCGTGAGAGACACTCGCTGCTGAGCACCCACGAAGAGCTAAGCAGCCAGTGCTGTGGAGTGCCGTAGGGTAAGGACACGCCAGGGTTTGGAGTCTTAGGCTACGTGACTACAACCTGACTAGGTGACTTGCAGTGGTCAGATCCCTTCTGTCCAGCTGTTCCATTTCTAAGCGTGAGAGGTGGCCACAAGAGGAGTGAAGGTCAAAGGGGAATGGGTCATACCGGAGAAATGGGGCCTGGTTATTTTTCCTCCTACAGTTTAAAAAAAAAAAAAAAAGTAGCGATCTAATCCTTCTCCTCCTCTTTGCTCCGTGACATTCCAGGGCCATGTTTGCACACGCGCACACACACACAGCTCCTCACAGACACTCGGACTCAGAAAAGCGAGTTTCGGACGGGTCCCAGGCTAGAAGGTTTTTCGGTGGATGGCACGGGCTCCATCTTCTTCGTACTCCTTCTTTGAAACCCACATTTTCTTAAAAGTGTCCAACGAGGCCAGAATAGAGCCCCTGGGGGGAACAAGCGAGTGTGTTACTACAGCGGGACAAGCCAATGGCTCCTAGTGTGGGTCTTGTTCCCTCGTGTGTTATCTGGACTGCGGCAGCACCTCCAGGCTGCTGGCAGGGGCCAAAACCCCAGGGTGCTAACCGCTGTGCAGACACAGAGAGAGAGTTCCTGCCCCAAAGAGCTTACAAACCGAATCCCCCTTCGTTTCAGGCCCACACTGGTTATGCTGAGCTTTCAGCCACCCTCATCCATGCTTTGTCCATGGGGGAGCTGAAACTGCACTAACAGCCAGCAAGTCGCAGAACACAGGCGTTGCCAGCAAAGTGGCTTTTCTTATTTCAACAGCACCTTAAATGGGCACGGTCAGATAGGAGCCTATGGTCCTGATTTCCCCTCTCACTTACTGGTCTAAATCAGCAGTAACTCCACTGAAGTAACTGGTATCAATGAGAGGGAAATCCAGCCCCAGGCTCTACCATCCAAGGGCCTGCTCCCACTGACTGGGATGGCGCAGGATGAGGTGAGACTGGGGAGACCACAGCAGGATAACATGGTTAGCAGTGTTTCCTTGGCAGAGGCTGCACCTCTGAGTGTGCTGAGTCCGGCACGGCTTTACGATGAACGGACAATGCCCAGGATGAGGGACAAGACCACAACCCTGCTCACAAAAAACATGACCCAATATGGTCGGGGCTACTCTGGCTCTAACTGTAGTGCGGGCAGGGCCCAGGTGTGAGCTACACAGTTAAAGCCAGGCTCGGCGGCCAAAGTGCTTTATGGTGTCGCTCTGCAGTACGTACCCGATCCACGTGGAATATAATCTCTCCTGAGGAGCAGATATCTGAAAGGAGAGGCAGAGAACTCAGATTAACATTGTCCCCAGGATACAAGCTGCTCCCCAGTCACTCCCACCCATCAGACTCATGCATTGGGACTGCTTTTGCCATCAAGCTGCACTGCCAGTGGATGACCATGGCCAGCGATGCTGGAGGTGGGCTGCATGCCAGCAGGACACCTCTCTCCACAGCCCAAATGGGTTTCAGTTGTAACAGCAGCCACCACCAGGGTGCCTGGGCTGTTCTGGAAAACCTGGAGTTGTTTGAAGGGCAGGACAGCGGACACCTCAGCCTGGTGTCTCCAAGGGACTCAAGGCTGCTGAACCTCGCCGGTGCATGGCAGGGGAAAGGCAGGCCAGGAAGCCTCGAGAGGAGAGCGCCCCTACCCTTATTTTGACGTCCTTGGGTGCTAGTTTCTTCACTTCGCTCAAGAGCCTATCTCCAAAGCCTGCACAGAAAAGGAAACTTGCCTTTAGTTTGGGCCTCTGATCATGGCCCCCAACCAGTTATTGCAGATGCAGCAACGCTCTGCACAAAATACTGCGGGGAACGGCCGTTGAGTCCAAGCCTATAAAGTCCCTTCCCATAGTCCTTGGCAGGCTTGGGGAGCCCACAGAGCATAACCGGAAAGAAGATCCTGATACGACAGATGTAGGGGCTTTGTATAATTTAGAGCGGTCCCACTCTGTATTTTTACAGCATCTAGTACACTGGGCCCTGACCTTGGTTGGTCCCTACGCACTAACCAAGATTAGTGCTAGTAATAACTGGATTCACGCTCCTAGCCAACCTACTCCCTCCAAAGGTCACCGTTCCTGGCCGGGATTGGTGGAATGGCTTTATCCGGGCAAGTGAGAAGACAAGCTGTCCCTAGGGAGAAAGGAGAAGTCTCAGAAGAGCTAGGTAGGCTTGACCTCCTGTTTCTATCTGGTTGAGTCTCCCAACCACAAAGCTCAGAGAAGGTTGCGTAGGCGCCCCCTTCCCCCCTCAATTCCTGTCCCTCCAGTGCTACCAGATGGGGGTGGAGGACCAGGAAGCAGGTCCTGGAGAGTTTCATCCTCTTACCAGAGGGGTGGACTCATGCCATGGTGCCGAGCAGCCCTGCCACAAAGTGGAAGGAGTAAGCCCCATGAGCATGTCTGATTCCCTCAGAGCAGAGAGGGGAGAAAGGCGAGCCTGGCTGTCACTCATTTCATTGCAAAGCATGCTGGGAAGTGGCAGAAGTCTGTGGCCTTTATAACACAGACTCTGCTTCTGAGGGACTTTCAGGGAGGCTTGCACTGAGGAAGTGGTTGTGAGTGACTCCTGGGAAGCACAGATCGAGAGGGCCCAGGAGAGCCTCATCTACATGAGTAGTGGTTTTACCTTGACTCCTGCTGGAATGTCAGAGATCTTGGGATTTCTATTACAGCTAGGAGCTAGTTGTTCCATTAGCATCATCTGAGAGCGTAACACACACCTTGGCTTTAAGAACAATCTTTCCCTCTACATCCTTCTCTTATCGCCCCCATTCTACGGTGGGCAGGGACATCCAGTCGTGGATGTGGCTACAATCATTGCACACGCTCAGTTCACGCCTGGGGGGATTTCAACAGCCCTGCCACCAAAGCAGAGACCTAAGGGAACCTCAGGATGTGCACCAGCTTTCTAGGGATTTAATAAAGAAACTGCCCTAAAACGGTGCAATGGAAGAGCAGAAAGAGCCTGGCTGTTCAGTGCTTTCTTAGGCAAAATGATGATGGCAGAAGGGGAAGGACAGGATAGCAAGGGGAGAGCATCAACGACACGTGTGGGAGCCGGATGGCAAAAGTCTACAGAAGCTTGAGAGGCAATTCCAAGCAGGGGAGGGATTATCTCGGGGGATGACGAGGAGTAACGGGAGGAGACTGGATGTCGGCAGAAGTTTTGGAGAAAGGAATAACGTCTCAGGCTGTGGCATCGTCTTCCCAGGGGAGTGTTGGTGTCTCCATTGCTAAGCTGGACAAAGCCTCGCTCCTGCCCTGGCCCTTTGAGAGCAGCTGGAGGAGCTAACAGGGCTTTCCTAGGATTCCATGACCTCACCCCCACCCCCAGTGGCGTCCGGGGCAATCCGGCTGGGTCAGGAGCCCTGGCTCAGGGCGTCGCGCCCTGTCGGAAGGCAAAGAGACCTTTGAAGAGCGTGGAGCCCCCGGAGAGCACAATGTTGGAGAAGAGCGTTCGCCTCAGGTCCATGTCAGATTTCTGAACAGCGAACACCAACACCTCGTGCAGCCCCTCGCACTCTTCTCCAATCAGGTCAGGCCGGAACAGTAACTCGGGGGCTCGGAAACGGGCAGGGCCGATCTGCAAACGACACGAGGGACCAGGTTAGCTTCCAGGGCGCGCCAAGCAGGAGTGTGGCCTATGCCCGTATCGCAGAGCCGCTTAACCCTTCAATGACCGAAACATCAGCGAGTTACAAAGAGTCTCTCTGACCTACCAGATGCTTGTGTGACATCATTAACATCCTGAGGATGAACACAAGGCTGATGGGCGGCTCCCTTTCACACACAATAACCCATGTAGCTTCACAGATCCAAACATTTCATGAACATGAAGCAAGCTCCGACATGCCACTGAAGTACTAAGTAAATTATTACCTCCCACTTTATAGAGGGGGGAAGAGGGGAAACTGAGGAAGCAACTTGCTCCTAGCCCCACAGTAAATGAGCAGCAGCGCTTGGAGCAGAACCCAGACCTCCTAATTCCAAGTCTGGTGCACTAGGGGAAAAAAAAACCCATACTCCCTCCCGTCCTCATCCGGAAGGTTTCACCTTTAGGTTTTCTTTCTGTGCTGTTAGAGAAGATAAACCCCATCTACAGGTTGCTGCAGGATTTGCAGTACGCCGAGACCCATTCACCCTGTCCCTGATCCTGCATCAGAACCTGCTAGTGCAGACCCCTGCACTTGAGGTCTCCGTGTCACTGATTTAACAGCAAGCCGCGTGCCATTAGCCAGGAACAGCACGTGTTTCTGGACCACTGGGATTTCAATGAGTTACGGGTGTGCAGCAATCCTCAGGGGGAAGCTATATTTATCAGAAACCATTTATGAATTGGTTCAATCACTGTAGGTCTTTAGAAAGAAATCAATAAGGAACTATTCTAACCATTTACAAGAGCAATCCTGTCCCCACTGCAGCTACATTTTAGCAAGAGATTTCTATCAAGACCTCCCAGGCCCCTGCAGTGAGAGGGCCAGGACGTTCTACTAACACTGAGCTTCTTATGAAGAATAACTTAATATTTGTCCTTACGCACCTCAATAGTGCTTCCATCTGGCAGGTAGTACTGGGCTTTCTCGGTTTCTAACGTCTCGTCCTTCTGTGGGTTTATTGACAGGTAACAGGCACGCTGCAAAGGGAACGCAGGCAGATGAGCAGGGCTCCTAACCAAATGGTTTTCCTCTGGGAAGAGAGCAATTTTTAGCAGAACCTTCTGTTGGGACAAACAAATATTTCAGATCAATCTGAACTGAAACATTTGTTAGTCTACCCGGAGCCACTGAGGTACCTCATTCTGGCCCCCACTCTCTAGTTGCACTACATCTCCCATGGTGCACCGAAGACTCCTGGCAGCTTCGCCCCTATAGGGCTTCATGGGGAAACAAAAACATTCGGATACTTTCAAATAGAAATGTTGTGACCTTTTTGTTCTGCAAGAAGCTTTGCTATTTTGACTTGGTCCCTTTTTGGGACACACGTATCAGAGAGATGGAAATGCTTGCCAGGCAACTCCACAAGCTAGTTAGGAAGGAAACAGCGTGAAAGTCAAAATGCAAAGAATAAAAAAACGAAAGGGCTAAGCCCAGAAATCCACTGCTACTGTCCTTACTGACCAGGCTGAAGCAAGTTAAAAATCCTTTTAAAAACAATTCTCTCGGAAATCCTCAGCACCTCAGTACCGCCAACCCCAGTCCTTCAAAAATCATGTCAGGCACCAAAAAAAATCATTATTGGTTTATATATCACATGACAAATAATAAATTAGGGTTTCTTTTTTATTTTTCCTCCTGGTTTTAAGCCTTTAGGTTACACTCAGGTTTTCTCCACAACCAGGAGGGCTGCAAACTTTCATTTAAAAAAAAAAAAAAGGTAAGTAGAGATTCTCGTATTTATTCCTTGTCTCCACAACCTGGGTCTTTAAGGAAATCAAACAGTAAAGCTTATGATACAATCATGAGCTTGCAGCACTGCCTGCTGCCTTGGTGAAAACCAACAGCAGAAATCTCACTGCAACCCTTGATATTTGTTGGAGAACGATGAATTCTGGCATCTCTTCGGTGAACCAGGAAATACTGGGGGGGGGGGGGGGAGTGTGGGGAGGGAAAGCAAATTTAAAGCTCTTATATGTGCTAACTCTCCACTCCCACAGCTTCGCTAGTGAGGAGGTTCAGCATACAAGTCTGGGCTCATCTCCATTTTTGTTCTGGAGCTCAGCTTTCAGAAGGGTAAGGTTCAGAAAGTCAACACTTTCCTGGGAGATGGGTGAGCCCGAGAGCTAGAGCAGAGATCACAATACAGGCGGTTTCGTTGTTTTTTTTCTAAGAGGCAAAGCGCACCAAGGACTCTGGCCATTTGTACGAGTGTTTCCAAGGTGCAATATACCACCGATTTGGAAGCATGTATGTTTCTCACTTTTCCCCATCCTACCAAGCCTGGCATCTTGCAAGGCATGGAAGCTACAGGATGTTTCCTAGTCACTTGTGAAGAGCTGAAGAGAATCTTCTATATTTCTCTCCAGCCACGGAAATGCCAGCCCTTCCTCTCTTGTAATCAGCACTCACAAAACAGAAACAACCACCTACAAGCCTCACACCTCCAGAGCTTTGTGCATTCGGCTAAAGTCACTCGGCTGCAGCAGTGACCACGTGTGGGTGCCGCTCACTTAGCGATCGAAGCATTTGAATTTGACTCCCAAGCCACGAGCACCTTTTCTATCTTCTCTCACTCTCTTGCTGGCAGGAGATCAGAGACTGTGACCAGGCACACGCATCATCAGTCTTAAACCAACTGGACAGCACAATTATGCAAAGGGATTAGGCAGTGTGGCAGCTATCCACCAGATGTCACTACTCAGCAACGAGAGTCAGAAATTCAAGGGCTCTAATCACTACCGGACTGATCCTGCAGTCTGAATGCCTGTACGCATTTATGAGCATTTCTATGCTAGTCACTCCAGTAGCTCAGCACCTAGAGAGGCAAAGCCCCCATTGCAATCAATCTGTGGGAGCCCTGTGTGTGTACGAAACTGCTGGGCGAGATCCAAAGAGAGAGGCAAAGCTACCCTAAGAATCAGTCACTCTTGTAGTTAAAATATTCATCTTCCTTCCTCCCCCTCCCCCCCCACCTCAGTTTTGTCCTCTTCTTTGGCAGAGATGAGCTGCCTTCCTCCGTGTTTCTAACACAACAGTAGCCAAGATGGCTCTGGTTTGTTTACTTCCCGGAGTGTGCATATTTGTGAGAGACTTTGCCGCAAATGATCACAAAATACTGTTTAGGTCGGGGCTCCTAAGAAGAGTGTCTCTAATCTGGACACTGCATTTTAAATGTTATCGTTGTGAACAGTGGACTATGGAAGATTTCACACTTCTCATTCAGATCCGGCACGGATTTAACTTGTCCTTTTTCCACAGAAGCTGACTTTAGTGCTAATGGAAGGTGCCGCCCTGCCAGCCCTGGGACTGGAGTTCTGCATTTATCTGCACCACCGGTACAGTACAGGCACGGGCAATGCGAGCGTCCCCCAAGCTGACTGGCCTCCGTGTCTCCGCCCCGACACGAAGAGAGCCTCTGTCAGAACCAGAGGGGAGTTCTGGCTCAATGGCCTATTCAGTTTTTAGGGGCCCCGCTGCCAAGACTGCCATCAAGGAGCTGGCCCTTAAGGATCTGCACCCCATTTCATAGACTCCTTGGCTCATCACTGCAGAAATCACCCCTAGACCAATCACAGACAGCAGGGCACCTCTTTGATGGTTTTGACGATCTCGAACTCTGATGACGTGTGGAAGTCATAGCCTTCTTTCCGGAGATAGAGGCGAAGGAAGCGGGATACATCGCGGCCAGCGATATCGATCCGCATAATGGAGTGAGGCATGGCAAACCCTTCGTAAATAGGAACCGCATGGGTAACGCCGTCCCCGGAGTCCAGCACCACCCCTGTGGTTCTCCCTGTAGCGTAACTGCAACAAAGGAGGGAAAGATCCTATTTGAGTGACAGGCAGCAAATTTCGTAAGTGTCACTTGAACTTGTACCTGGCCCAAGGGATGCCATGTTTACACTACAGACAAATCATAAAGCAATGAGAGAGAATCAAGTAACTGCAGAATAATTCAGCTTACTCTGAAATGGGCATTTCTACTTTTTTTTTAAGTAAAGTTTTTTCAGTTCTGAGGAACTCTGTTTAATTTTGGCCTTGATGCAGGATTTGGGGTGATTGTTTTTAAATAACGTTTTACAAAATGCACTATGGATCAAAATAAGTAGTTATAATCAATATATGTAAAGTTGGTAAAGTGAGAAAGTAAAATTGATCAGTCCAATTTCATAAGTGAAATGCTGAAAGTAAATGACCGGAATGAAGAATACTATATTAGAGTTAAAAAATGCATTTAACAATCTAGTGGGTTACTAATAAAAAAGGGAAGGATTTGAAAAGAAATCGGATTAATCCCAGGGTCACTAGCTGATCCATTTGAAACTGGACAGCGCACAAAATACAGCCATTTTATAAAGCCTCCGTTGGTTTAATATGGCTTGGTAAAGACCAGGACAGAAGTCCTTGCAGATGAACTCTGCAAATCCTTCTTTTAGCCCGCCAGTCACACACAGTTCCCTGCTCACGCCATCTCCCAAAATGCCACAGTCTAACACCGCTGAAGGGGCAGGAATCGTTATGTCGGCCAGCTCGGGTGCCTCACGTTGCCTAGGGAGTACAGCTGGTACGCAGCACGAGCCCGGAGCTTTCCACAGTGGGCACAATATGGCTGCGATGCCAGGCCAGCGGGCGAGAGGTACTGCTTTGGATACACTAGCCTTTCCTCCACCATTGCCACCAACCGTTTACCCCCCCCCAATGGTAACAACCATGGGGCACTAATTTAGTCAAGGCACCAGCAGCCACCAGCATTTTAAAGACCACGAACCACTACTGCAGGCAGACCTAGAGGACATGGTGGTAAAATTACAAATGCCAATGAAATCCTTGCCCCTGTTTATACCAGCATTCCCACAAGTGGAGCTGAACTGACCCCTACTGGGAGTGGCTGGGTCATTACACATATTCAATCTATTTCCCCATGTTAAGTATCCTCACACCTTCTTGTCAACTGTCTAAATGGGCCATCTTGATTAGCACTACAGAAGTTTTTCTCTCCTGCTGATAATATCCCATCTTAACTAAATAGCCTCTTACAGTTTGTATGGCAACTTCCACCTTCTCTGTCTGTATATATATATCTTCTTACTATATGTTCCATTCTATGCATCCGATGAAGTGAGCTGTAGCTCACGAAAGCTTATGCTCAAATAAATTGGTTAGTCTCTAAGGTGCCACAAGTACTCCTTTTCAAGTTGCAGACTGTGGCTTTTACAGGGATTTGAGTGTGGTGGACCTTGTTACACTAGCAATGACTGGAGAGATTTTTTTAAAAAAAAAGCCTACTAGCTGGTGTATTTCTACGTCCTTCCAGGAGGTGAACATCAGAATTACACATGGGACAAAGCTGCAAACATCAGAGCTTGACCCAAACGCCCCTGTGGTTTTGGGAAGGGCAAAGCAGTCCCCATTTAAATAGTCATCCTCCAAAGGAATGGCTGGCTTTCAGGACAACCTCACTTGAGTCTTATTTCTGCCCTTCTGCTCAGGCTGTGCAGAGAAAGGGGAAGAAACTTACAGGCTGAGTACCGCTTGCATGGAGATAAAAAGTGCTGGCACATTGAAGGTCTCAAAGAAAACCTCAGCAGCTCGCTCTCGGTTCTTACGTGGGTTCAGGGGAGCCTCCGTCAGGAGCACAGGATGCTGGTTTAATAGAGACAAACAGAACTCAGCAGAGGGGTTCATTCTGGGGCTCTGAACCACTGCAGCAGGGAACGCTCTATCCCAGCTAGAGGTAGGAGTGGGGCTCTGTCCCCCCCGCAGGCTGCGAGTGTCCATACGGATTGGGGGTGGGGGGCGTGATTGGAAACGTGTTCCAGAATAACTCTGTTTATTCGTACACTTTAGGCACCGCAGGGATATAAATAGCAACGTGGGATGAAGTTAAGGAATGAGGGAACACTGCCAACCAGTGAGATCTCAGAGGCTGTGGAATAATCTCCGACTGGAAGGGCTGGAGAATCTTCAGGACTTGGGCCATTTCAAGCTAAGTTAGACAGAGCCCTGGGGAACAGACTATAGGGGACTATCCTGCTGTGACCAAATGGATCTTTTCCCATCTGTCCACTCAGAAGTCACATCATTAAGTTTCCAGCAGGGTTGCCTTTAAAACACAGGCCCTGACTAGGGGCTGCAGGCTTCAGTTCATCACCATGCTGCAGAAACGCTTCTAAGCCACTTCCAGAGCCATTTCGCAGGACATCTTGCAGAGGCTGCCCTATTTTATTTCTTTCTCTCTCCAGGTTGAGTGCACAGGGCTTACTCCTCCTTCCTTTCAAACAATCTCATTAGTAAACATTTGGTGAGCGGAAAAAGCAGAACAGGAACGATTAGGAGCACCCGGCCTAGCTCAGAAATAATGGAATACTGCATTGGGGAGAATGTGAGTGCAGGGCCTGAATGCTGGATCATCAGTAAAGCTACAGTATCAGATTAGCCACAAGGTCATTCTGCTTGCATACTTCTTGGCTGAGGTCTAATGTGAAGCAATAATTTTGATTAATGAACAGGTACATGTAGAGCTTCTGCAGGGAAAAGCAAAGGAAAGGTGCCAGATCTACCTCATAGCTGACACACTTAGCAACAAAGCCCTGGGTCTGCATGGAATCTCACCTCTTCTGAGAAAGTCTGAAGCTGGTCTTTTGAATACACATACTGCCAGATGCGCTCCATGTCATTCCAGTCCTTCACTATGCCATGTTCCATGGGATATCTGATCGAGAGCAGACCTCTGTGCTCCTAGCCACATAGAAAAGACAACATAACATGCCTTTCAGCGAGATTTCCAAACATATTCCTCACTGCCCATTTCTAGTGACACTGCTCCTCTTACAGATGCATCTGCTTGCTGTAAGTTCCAAGGAAAAACACTGAATGTTTGTATTTAATTGAAAAGGATAGGAGGAATTTTAAAAGGCCAGGACTGTCAATTAACGACAAACTCCTTTTGCACAGTATTCCCAGGTTATAAATAAGGTCTTTTTATACTGACAGCACATTCAGATCCTGTATTTATACAGCACCTTCCATCCCTACAGTCTTCATAAACTGATATACAAATATCCATAACTGGTACGTTGGCTTCTCTAGTTTATGCATGATGGGAAGCTCTAATGGGGGCATGCACTGACCTTTTAGGAGAGTCTATAGGCCAAGTTCAGCCACAGATAGGATTGTTAAGGGGGCCGTAGTCTGGAGGGATTCATGGGATCATGTGCTGGGCAAGACAGGACTATATATGGCAATCTTCTTGCTCAGGTTATGGAAACCAGAAGCAAAGCAAGATCTGGTATTTAAGGTTCTCGACCATGAGAGATGGGGATGCAGCGCAAGAAGGAACTGTGAGCTGGCTAGAGAAAGGCCAGAAATAGGAGGACCCAGAGAAGAGTGAAGTGAGTGATGGAGGAGACTATGGGCTAGCTTCTTGTTTCTGGGGCCTGCAACAGGGGTGTCCAGGCAGGGTAGAACGAAATTCACCTCCACCCTGTGCATCAACAGGGGCAGTTGCTGGAGGAAAGGACGGCTACTGGCACTGATCAGCCCTGCATCAACAGCGGGTGAAGTTGGATGTGTGAAGGATGGAAGCATTTAGCCCAAGGAAGACTCTCTTGCTGTGGCCAGAGGGTCAAAGAACTTATAAAAAAGATCAACCGGCCTACGACAAGAGAGAGACTGCAGCTCAGAGGGGGAGGCTGAAACACAGATCTGGAGCGGAAACTGAGGCACAACTACACCCAGTGACAGAGAGATAGGAACCTGTTACAGAATCCCATCTCGCCCCACTAAAATGCAGCCACCTCTGGGGAGAAGGACGGCAGTTGTTTAACACCCCACAGCAGTCAATGTATGTTGTATCCAATTCAAAACTGCAGGGGAGATTAGGGAGGGAGGATGTAATTGTCCAATTGGAATCAAGCCAGGACACTGGGGGGGTGGAAATCCCACTCTAGGAAAGGGCTATGGACTCCGTAACAATCATATCTGATCAGGACATTAGTTTTATGTCCCTTTTGACAGGGATGTTGTCTAAAAGAAACACTACCCTTCTACGGGCGCAGAGAACAGGGACAGCAGAGGAAGACTCCGCAGGTGCTGAGCTAATATAAAACGTGTTTAGCTGAAACAACGAACACCACCACCCCGGGGAAGGGCACGAACATCAGCTTGCTGCAGGCAGCACCCTGGACTGGAAAGTCTAGACTACTCCCCTTCGCAGCTCTTCCACTTTCAGTGGAAACATGGCCCTCCACGAGCACCGCAATCCTTCTCAGCTGGGAACTATGACATCCCCACGGAGCCAACACCCAGACACATGGGGATCCCTGATAAACAGGCACTCTTACCTCTGCCTTTGGCCCAATGAAAATGTCCCCTTCTAAAGCACCAGCCATGACACGAACGTGCTTTGGTCTGCCCACGCTACAATGGAGGTTACAAGTATTGGTGAGTCTCATGCAAGACAGTATACATACCTGAGCATTAACTAGTCAGTGCTTCTCTATTCCCTGAGAAGCTATTGCTAGCAATGGTGCGAGGGACTCCTTCACCTGGGTGAGCACACGTACACCCCTGGGAAAGAGTGAGTCTGGTGAGCTAACAGCTGTCAGTGGTGCCCAGGCATCCGGATCCTGGAGTCCTTTCTCAGCTAAAGCTCCCATTGACATCCACGGCCATTTTACAGGAGTAAAGATGATAGAACTGGACTCAGAATAAATATAAAAAGGTCTTTTTTTACCCATCCTGCTTTTGTTTTCTCAGTTTTCCAGAGTACCTCCGTTGTCTAAGAGCAGGGTGACCATTGTACTGGGGTTAAATTAATTCCACCTTTGGTCTGTCTATAGTTCTACAACTACAACCAGTTACTGGAAGCCCACGGGACTTGACTAAAGCGATACGTAATTATCCTTTGCACGTTTTTTAGCAACTTCAGGCAATCTCAGAGCATTTAACGTTACTGAACTCCGCTCCAGGACACCTCTGGAAGGTGAGTATTATCCCAGTGACAGAGCCAGAGATAAAACCTACTTCTTCAGATTCCCAACAACTGCTTAAACCACAAGACCATTCCTCCCTTCTATGTAGGCTGCAAATGGTCTGGGATACTCAGAGCAACTAAAAAACCCCACCAGAGTTACTAGGGTACTTACTAGTTTGGAAAACAGTACTTCGGTATCTGGTCACCTGCAAAACCTGCTTTGATCACACCCGAGCCCTGTGGGAGGAACAGAGAAGTGTGTGAAAAACAAATAAATAATATTTAATAATTCTGCACGTCAGTCACATGGCACTTGTGCTCACAACAATTTAAAAACAAGTAGCATGTTAAATGGAGCACGAACAGCCCCCACTTCGACCCCGCACGAAGAAAGCCCCCCACACGGACGATCGAAAACCAGACAAGCTCTTCCTCAAGAAGATGTGCTTTGCAGTGTGCCCAGGTGGGAGTATTTTCCACCCTCCACTGACAACACCTTGCTGTGCAGGCCTGGAGTGTGAAGGCTGAGGAACATCCGCAAAAAGTATCAGCTCCTCTCGGCCGTCACACGGGTGCACACAGCAGTCCCACAACGTGGAGTCTGCTTCATACAGCAGATTATTTTAGACCCGAACATTGTCACCTGTTTAGCATCAGAAGTATGCTATGGGCTCAACAGACACAGAAAAAGAGGCCTCCACTCCAACAGGCTGCTGGTCTAATCTGACCAATATACAGGTGGCGGAGAGGGCAATACAAAGCAAATAATTAAATGGCAGAGTTTAGCCAAACCATGCCAGTTTCGTGTCTTAGAAGGGCAGGAGGAGGGTTCACAGGCCTTTCAGAAGACCTGTGCCTGAAGATGGGATCTGGAGGAAAGGATGGAGGCGTGGCTGACTGAGCCAGGGAGGACTATTAAGGGGAGAACCACATGGAAAACAGACTGGAGTTGAGGCTGGGAGAAGAAGCTAAGGGGGTGTGCCCTTTGGGGCAGGGACAGACTTTTAGTTCTGTGGCTATACAGCATTTAGCACAGTGGGGTCCTGGGCCATGATTGGGGCCAACAATAATAGGTGCGCAGCCTCGGCAGAGCTACGGGGACAAGTAGGAAGCAAAAGGAAACAAGAGCAGAGAGCAATGTGGGAGCTAAATTGCACAGGGCTTTGGATGCAATAAGGAGCTTGGATCGGATTCAAGAGGAAGCCAGTGAGAAGAGGCCGGATACAACAAGGACGGGAGATTTTCTTTTTGAGAGAGAGAGAGAGAGGCAGGGAGGCACTATTCAAAGCAGCAAAACCCCACAGGAGCAGCATGTAGAGTAGTTAAAAATTGAGCATTTTGAATCTTTGGTAACAATTGGGCTGGGCAGCTGACCTCCTGGAGCTGCAGAAATCTCTCAGACCAAACAGCAAATCCTCATGGATATTTTCAGGATACATCCTGGGAATGTGGCTGCCTACCACAATTACTGCAGATCCTCTTCCCCTCCTCCGCTTCCTCTTCCCCTTTCTATAGGAGCGCCATCTTGAAACAAAGAGTGATCTCAGGGAAACTCCCCGGTTTTTAGTATAAACAACAGACTCTCACATGCTCTCTCTGGAGATGATCAAGGTTTACTCACTCAGGACACTGAAAACGAACGCCTTCGTGGAAAGGCATGCAATTAAAAGATGAGAGTGGAGTGAGGCATCTGATGCATGCTGAAGCCAATCGATTCTAATAATGGGGTTCTCTATTCACCTTCAGGGTCTCCACAGCACGGCTTCTTGGTTTACAGGTCAAGAGGATTGTTCTACCTGCCACACAGGATCCCAGACAACCAATGGTGCTGTTCACCCACAGAGCTCACAGCACCCCCAAAAGGCGGGTTAGTATCTCTGTCGTCACGTTACAGACAGGAAGGCCGACAAACTGATTCGCCCCAATACACTCAGCCAATAAGGGGCAGACTAGGATTAATACTCAGGTCTTGCCTCCTAGGCCAGTGCCCTACCCCCCAACCCATGCTGGAGCACTGTGAGTCATCCCCATCCTGCCATCAGAGCACAGTTAAGACGTTCTGTGTGACCCAGAGTAGACTCCTGCTTGATGGCCCATAACTTTCTCGGATGGCTGCACTAACCTACTCACAGACAGAAATGATCTGTGAAATAAGAGACGGGTCAGCTTGACGTGGACTCTTTTCTGACCACCCGTTTTAAAGCAAAGCCATTATTCTAGTCTACAAAACACAGTCTTGAGTTTCCTAGGCAACAGCTTTAATATATGCTTGGCAATACACAATTTCATTCTTTGATATTCACCGTAGCAAAGAGCAGAATAAATAAATACAGTAAGGCAACCTCCTCCAAAGACAGTTCTTATTTAATATTTGAGTCTCGATAATAATTCAATACACTGCCAGCATGCCTGGCTCCAGGGAAGCAGCTGCAGGAGAACAATGATGCTCCTATTTAACACCGAGAGGTTCCCAGCAAGGGATGCATTTTTAACTTACTTATTAAACTTCAAAATCAGTTGAGATTATTTGTTCCTCAAAAACATAAATTGGACTTCAGTGGAACACACGAGCCTGCAGGACTTGGCCCAAATGCAGCAGTACCAGGCACTAATCCAATCGCAATTGTTAGCCATCTCTCTATTATGAGAGTTGACAATGCTTTCCAGTCTATTTAGTTTCCCTGTAAAACGCTTTAATCTTTCTAAACAAAGGTACACTTGTGTGCACTAGGTAGGTGAATCGATTTAATCTTTGCTCACTGTCCCAACAGATCCACACAGAAAAGAATTTAAGTGGTTAAAGGGACATTGCCAGGTCAAGAATCATGGTTTTAAAAATAAATATTCTGGGGAGTTATGTTGCCCTGGAATGAAGTTCATTTCAAGGAATGTGATGGAAGCAATTTTAAGTACAGCAAAAACATATGACCTCCCCCCTGGCTACAACAACACTGCACACCAAAAGCATATTAAAATTTATTAAAACAGATTTAAAAAGATCTATCAAGCTTCCTTTATCAGTTATCCTGATTGGTTTTGCATTTTACATATGGGAAAAAAAAACCCTAAAGATTGTTTTAAAGTCAGTGAAAATATATTTTATTTACAATACCTAAACTTCGGGAGCACAAGCACACCCCTTTCACCAGCTTTGTAGTGGACTACAAAACTGATTCACTAACCCTGAATGGGTTTACAATCCGAATAAACATGGAATTCACCGACAGATGAAATCTGCTCTGTTCTCACTCTCTATGGAAATAACACATTCCACCACTTTCACTTCCATTTTGGTAGATATTCTTTTGCTAACATCAAGAGCATAAAAAAGAAATTCAGTCAATGAAACAATATCCAGTAGTGCGGTATCAGCTGTGGAAAACAACAACATTCAGATTACAAAGACACATTTGATTCTCCTCTCTCAGGTCAGGCCTCATGCAAGTAGGGACGACTACACAGAGGTCAGTGGAGTTGCCCTTGCCGAGGCCAGTGATGAATCTGGCCCTTCACCTCGACTGGTTTCATTTATGTTCACCAAGGCCACCCATCCACTGATTTTGGCGAGGCTCCATGGGGGTTCAGCAATCTGCCCACATGGCACTCATCGCAGAACGGGGATTCAAGTAATTTACAAATTACTTATGGGAAAAGGAGGCAGTGTTAAGCCAGTATTGTGCAGCAACCCCAACCTCCAGCTTTGTACAACAGAAGCCCAGTGCTGTAAACATGAGTTTTCAGCTGGCAATAAATAACAGTAATAGGTAAGAGTAGGTATTACTAGTGGTAACAGCAGGACTGGAATCGGGACTCTCTGGATCTGTTCTCGAGTCTCACTGCCTCATTTTACATGCCTAAAACAGGGATAATACCCAACTTTGTAAAGCCCTTTGAGACTCTCTGATGAAAGGCACTACAAAGAAGTGCAGAACAGTAGTATATTGTCTGCACTGTTTCCACTTTCTCTCTCCTAGCACTTTTCTCTATCACTCACGGACAGCTCCAAAATTGCAATGTCACTGTAAGATCCTGATATGGGAGCCTTGCCAGTGAAAAATGCTGATCTCACAACATAAATTTCTCAATTATTTCTCTCACATATACCGGGAAAAATCTCAATTTAACTAGTCAGGAACAAAGTGAAACCAGATATGCTAATATGCCTCTTTATACCTTGCTCGACCCCAAGCAGTGTCTGCAGATTATTAGCGCTAAGTTCTAATAACATTTCCTTTGCATTTCTCCCATGGTTTTCATCCTAGGAGATCACAAGCCTTTTGCCAAGGTGGGTAAGCACCACTATTCCCATTTTACTGATGAAAAAACTAAAGCACTGAGAGGTTAAGCAGCCTGCCCAAGGTCACACAGAGTTAGTGGGAGAATAGGGAGAGGGGAACCAAACTGTCTGGATCAGGTTTCAAAGTTTGAAGGGTTAAGATATGGTATTGCAGTTCAGGAAAATCTCTCTACAAGGAAAAGAAACCAGGCCTACCAAGTCAAACCCTTGGTCTAACTTCTAGACAGCATTTCTCCTCGATCCTAAAGAGACGCATCAACTGTGGGTGTAAAAGCCAGCAATACAAACTATGGCAGGAGCCACAGGAAATTTGAGATGTCTCCCTAAGGGTGAAACAAGAGTCATGCCTTCCATCCGGACACATACAAGTCACAACACTGAAATATTTTTGGAATTAGTTACTGGGAAAGGCACATTGGTATGAAAGAGTTCAAGACATGGGTGGATTTCCAGGTGGCAATTGGGATTGACAGTGAAAATGCAATAAGAGGGAATTAGGAATCACCCAATATAAGGGCAGACATGCTAGGATGTCCAAGTGTGATCCTAGAAGGGCTAAAGTTGCAAGGTACAAGAAAACAGAGCTGTTCAGAGCTGCAAGCCAAGCAAGCCCATTTATTATTCCTGAATCCTTTTGTTAAAGGTGATGGAGAACAATGAAAGCCCAGGCAGGATCCCCTCATTTGACAAGTGAACAGTAAAATTTGTTTGGAATATTGGCATCAAGGGGCTGAAGGGAGGAGACCGAGTGTGTGACCCACTGTAACAAATCAGGTTGCCTCTAAACCATCCCCCTCCTTCTCTCATCCTTTACTGAATAGTCCTTGTTGTTGGGAGGCCCCGCGGATCAGAGCTAACGAAATTGCTGTCTGTATGGGGCTCTGAAGTACTTCACTAAGGCATGTAGCCGACCTCATCTAGAATACTGAGGTGTCTCCCACAGAGATTAAAGTTCTGGATCAACGAGAAGGGCCATGTGCTAGAACCCATCATCTCTGCAGGCCATGCCCCGACTGTTAAATTCAAGGCAGTGCAGCGTATTATGGGAACAGTCACGTCATCCCCATGAGCCGCACTTCTCACTGGTCTGGAGATGAAGCAGTGCACTCTGGGAGCGGTTATCCCCAGGAAGAGGGCATACCCTCTGATCTCAAGATGGAGCAGTGCGTGCTGGGGGCTATGTCCGAGAGGCTCCACGTCCTGCTGGGCACTTCAACAATGCATGCTGGGTGCCTGGTGAGGGCAGAGCCTTCACCCCAAACCTGCCCAGACTAGCCACAGATGTCCTGGCAGGGCAATGGACCATGGAACCTGATGGGATCCCAGCCTCTACCTATGACAGACAGCCACGGTAGCCAATCACTGCAGGTACATTCCTCAGGGGCGGGGCTCGTCAGGTTTAGCAAAGGGACAGGGCACCCCATGCGAGTGACAGCCGAGAGAGCCAATCAGGCCATCAAAACACTTCCGTGCCCGGGCACCACCGCGGAGGTGAGACCGGTCGAACCAGCAGGTTCGGATGATCCGTCCTCGGTGATTGACAGGCGCGGGAGCCAATGAAAAACCGGGAAGGAGGGCGTGTCCTGAGTTCGGTTGACCCGTCGCTGCGTCTGGGAGGGCCCGAAATCAGGACGGGGCGGGGCTGAGGGGACTCGCCCGGGGAAAGGGAGCGGCAGGGCGGGGCCCCGGTGACAAAGGGATCGTGCTGGCCGTGTCTTTCCCGCCCCCCCCTTCCCTGGTGCCGGCCTGAGGGGTCCGGGCCCGGACTCACGTTATCTATCACCACGGGCTGGTTCGCGATCACATCGTAAGACTCCATGGCGGGGACTCGCCGCAGCCGCCAGCCAGGGAGCGACAGCCCGGGCTGCGGGGCGCATGCGCGGAAAGGGAGCGCAGGGCAGCTTGGGCGCTGTGCGCTTTATGAGCGCTGCATGCTGGGAACTGTAGTCTGTACGGGAGGGGAGGCCCGGGGCTTCTTGGGAATTGTAGTCTGTGGGCGGGTTCTGACGTGGGGGGGCGGGGTCTGTTTTGCCAGTCACCGGCTGCAGTGTAGACATGGCCTTATGTTCACCCGGATAAGTGACCAGAGAGACTTAGGCCTCCTCTGCACTACCCCTCATGTAGGCAAAACTAAGAGCGTCTCCCGCCGACACAGTGCTGTCCACACCGGTGCTTTTGGCGATGAAACTTTTGCCAGTCGGGGTGTGTTTTCTTCACACCCTGATGACAAAAGTTTTGCCGACAAAAGTGTTAGTGTAGACATAGCCTTAGTCAGGGCTTGATAGGATCATCTTCTAATCTCTTAGCAACTGTTTTTATTTGCTAATAATTACAGCGGTTGATTAATGGCAGTTAACTCACATGATTAACTCAAAAAATTAACTGCTTGGAGAGCGGCAGTTGCAGGCCAGAAGCCCAGCTCTGAAGGCAGAGCCACCTCCAGCAGCAGTGCAGAAGTAAGCATGGCCTGGTCTGGTATTGCCACCCTTACTTCTGCACTGCTGCTGGCAGAGCGCTGTCTTCAGAGCTGGGCGGCCGAAAAGTGACGGCTGTTGGCCCGGCACCCAGCTCTGAAGGGTGGCAACACTGCAACTCCCCCTAAAATAACCTGGTGACCCTCCCCATCCCCCGCAACTCCCTTTTGGGTCAGGACCCCAGTTTTGGAAACCCTGGTCTCCCCTGTGAAACCTGTGTCGTGTAGGGTAAAAGCACACAAAAGACCAGATTTCAGAGTCCGTGATGCGTTTTTCATGGCCATGAATTTGGTAGGGCCCTACTTTTGGGACCATTCACAGTGTATAAACTTAAGCACATGCACAAGACTTTGCAGGATCGGGGCCCTGGTTCCAATTTCTAGTGTAGACCGGTCCTTCACTGTGTGTTGTATGCAGGCAAAAGTCTTGGTTAGACTGTCGATAAATCATGGTTTAAAATGCGTCTGATTTAATTATACAAAGGAAAAAGAGGAGCAATGTAATTAAAGGTGGGAAATTCTAAAACAACAAAAAACATAAAGGTTGCTAAGTGACAATAAGATTCCTGGGTTCTGTTCCCAATCTTGAACACCTACAACCTGTTTGTATTTGCTCGGCATAAGAACGAGACATGGGAAAAGTTGGGGGTACAGGCAGGGGTTTAAGAAAAAATCCTCTGCTGCCAAGGCTGCTGGTGTTCTAATACTATTCACCCTGACTGAGCTGTTCTTAGAATCACAGAAGATCAGGGTTGGAAGGGACCTCAGGTGGTCATCTAGTCCCACTCCCTGCTCAAAGCAGGTTCAAGCCCAACTAAATCATCCCAGCCAGGGCTTTGTCAAGCTGGGCCTTAAAAACCTCTAAGGATGGAGATTCCAAATCAATCCAAATCCTCCCTAGGGAACGCAATCCTGTGCTTCACCACCCTCCTAGTGAAATAGTGTTTCCTAATATCCAACCTAGATCTCCCCCACTGCAACTTGAGACCATTGTTTCTTCTTCTGTTATCTGTCACCACTGAGAACAACCAAGCTCCATCCCCTTTGGAACCCCCCTTCAGGTAGCTGAAGGCTGCTATCAAATCCCCCCCGACTCTTCTCTTCTGCAGACTAAATAACCCCAGTTTCCTCAGCCTCTCCTTGTAAGTCATGTGCCCCAGCCCCCTAATACTTTTCATTGCCCTCCACTGGACTCTCTCTAATTTGTCCACATCCCTTCTGTAGTGGGGAGACCAAAACTAGACGGAATATGCCAGATGTGGCCTCACCAGTGCTGAATAGAGGGGAATAATCACTTCCCTCAATCTGCTGGCAATGCTTCTACTAATACAGCCCAATATGCTGTTAGCCTTCTTGGCAACAAGGGCACACTGCTGACTCATATCCAGCTTCTCATCCACTGTAATCCCCAGGTCCTTTTCTGCAGAACTACCTCTTAGCCAGTCAGTCCCCAGCCTGTAGCGGTGCATGGGATTCTTCCTTCCTAAGTGCAGGACTTTGCACTTGTCCTTGTTGAACCTCATCAGATTCCTTTTGGCACAATACTCCAATTTGTCTAGGTCACTCTGGACCTATCCATATCTTCCAGCATATCTACGTCTCCCCCCAGCTTAGTGTCATCTGCGAACTTGCTGAGGGTGCAATTCATCCCATCATCCAGATCATTAATAAAGATATTGAACAAAATCGGCCCCAGGACCGACCCCTGGGGCATTCTGCTTGATACGTGCTGCCAACTAGACATCGAGCTGTTGATCACTACCCCTTGAGCCCAACAAGCTAGCCAGCTTTCTATCCACTTTATAGTCCATTCATCCAATACATACTTCTTTAACTTGCTGGCAAGAATACTGTGGGGGACCGTATCAAAAGCTTTGCTAAAGTCAAGATATATCACATCCACCACTTTCCCCATATCCACAGAGCCAGTTATCTCATCATAGATAGGTTGGTCAGGCATAACTTGCCCTTGGTGAATCCATGTTGACTGTTCCTGACCACCTTCCTCTCCTCCAAGTGCTTCAAATTCCTTGAGGATCTGCTCCATGATTTTGCTGGGGACTAAAGTGAGGCTGACTGGTCTGTAGTTCCCTGGGTTCTCTTTCTTCCCTTTTTAAAATATGGGCACTATATTTGCCTTTTTCCATTCATCTGGGACCTCCCCCAATCGCCACGAATTTTTAAAGATAATGGCCAATGCCTCTGCAATCACATCAGCTAACTCCCTCAGCACCCTTGGATGCATTAGATCTGGACCCATGGACTTGTGCATGTCCAGCTTTTCTAAATAGACCTTAACCTGTTCTTTCACCACTGAGGGCCGCTCACCTCCTCCCCAAACTGTGCTGCCTAGTGCAGCAGTCTGGGAGTCTTCAACTTCTCTGAGGGGCAATAATTTCTATGGATGTGTCAATGAGCAAGTGAGTTCTGACAGCAGGGAGGGAGGTTCTCAGAGAGACCCTGCCTCAGGTCATCTATGGCAAGAGTTACCAACTTGTTACACACTGGGCAGTGTTCCAGAAGCAGTTTGTAACTGCCCTCAACTTTAATACAGAGATGCAGCCTCTGATCTCAGAATGCAATGGGACCCCAAGAGGGGAGGAGGGGAGCTATCTGGGCCCTTTGGGGAAAGAATGGGGTTCTATGAGGGAGAATAGGGGAGGAGGAGGATGTGTAGGATGCCATGTAGCTTCACTTAGGACCCTTGGACTATGGGTAGCAGAGATGAAGCTTTTGCCTATGCTACTCTGTAGCAGACACCCAGATTAACACCTGATCAGGGATCAGAGGGTATCTTCCTCCCACTCTGAATGTCCATGGCAAAAGAACAGGGTGTGTGTCACAAACTGCCCAGCTGTAGCTAGTGTAGGCCATCATGTGGGATTAGCGGGAAGAATGGGCCACCACTGAAAACCATGAGTTGGTCTCCCATAGCCTTAATACAGCCTCTTAGTTGTGCTCGGAGTCTAGTAGGCACCAGTATTGCCTAGAACCTCACTAGCCTCCCAGGGGCCCTATTACCAGCCTTAGGGCGTTTTCCAATCTTAGGGTCCATTCCTCTTCCCAAATGGTCCCTATAGCTTCCCCCCTCCTCTACTCACACCCTATAGGGCCCCATTCTGCCATCATGTGGCCCCTATAATTCCCACTCCTGCCCTATTCTTCCCTATAGGGTGCATTCTTCCCCTCCTTCCTAATCACCCCCAGAGGGCACTCACACCTCTCCTCCTCCTCTATAGGGCCCCAGGGTCCCCATGGCTCCTATTCTGCCCTATAGGGCCCCCAGTCTCCTCCCCCCATAGGGCCTTCATTACGTCTCTCCTCCACTATTCGTCTCCATAGGACCCCCCATAGGACCTCCCCTCCCCAGCCACAGGGCCCCTATAGCTCCCACCTCCCCACAAGCCCCATAGTTCCCCACCTCCCCTTGTTTGCCCCATAGCCCCGCCTCCCCTAGAGGGCCTCACTCTCCCGCTCCCGCTGCTGCAGCCGCAGGCCGCCGCCGCTAGGGGTCGCGCACGCGCCTCCCTCCGCCGCAGCAGCGGGTGGGGCCGGGCTGGGCCAGGAGGCCTGGCCTCCGGCGCTGCGATTGGCGGAGCCGCCCGCCAGTCAACGTGCGGAGGACTGGGCCCGCCTGGAAGCCGCCTCCTCCTCGGGAGTCGCCGGTGGACGGAGCCGCCTGGGCCGGGCGTGTGGCGAGCCGGAGCCGGGAGCAGCCGCCTGGGCCGGTCCCCACCCCCGTATCCCCGAGCGCGGCGCAGGGCCCGCCCCTCTCCCCCCCCCCCGCCTGTCCCGCTCGGAGCGGCGGCCCCATGGAGAGCGCGCGGCCTGGTGGGGCCCCCCCGGGGGCCGGGCCCGGCTCCTTCCCCCCGCTCTTCCCCCCGGGGCTGCACGGCATCTACGGCGAGTGCCGCCGCCTCTACCCCGAGCAGCCCAACCCGCTGCAGGTCACCGCCATCCTCAAGTACTGGTGAGAGCCGGGGGGGCTCCCTGAGCGCGGGGGGGGGCTCCCTGAGCGCGGGGGGGAATGTCCTGGTTGGGGGGCTGGGATGGGGGAGGATTTTCAGTGGGGGGGGGGCTGGGATCCCTGAAGGGGGGATCCTGGTTGGGGGGCTGGGACGGGGGAGATCCTGTGGGGGGGGGTGGGATGGAGGGGCCCGGGGGGGGTGGGGGGCCTGGGCCATCTAGGGGCCTTGAATGGGGGGCTCCCTGAGTGGGAAAGGGAGATGTTCGGCCGGGGGAGGCTCCCTGAGTGGGGAGAGTTGGCTGGGTCTGTGAGAGAGGATGCCGGGGTGGGTCGTGGGGGGGGGGGTGCATTGTTCTGAGGGGAGTTAATTTTGTGATCCACTCTTGCTCTTCATTTCAATCTGCGCTCACTTGGCATCAAGGAGAGCCAGGCACTCTCTCGTTACAGTGTGTCTGGTAACACCCCTTGTT